ATGCAGATCTTAGTATTGAGACGCCCTAATGACAAGGATATTCTCGAAAATGACCATTTTTATTGATTTTTCCATTGCCGTTGACCCTTTATCAATCTTCACAGCTGCAGGCCTGAGCGTGTTGGTTTAAGGAGTGGTGACTTTATGTTCTTACAAAGGAATATGTTGTGCTCTGACATGGTGTGTAAAATATTGGGGTATTTGCTACCAGAAGGCAAACAGGGATCAAGGAGTTCCTGTTCTGCATGATGTCCCCTGGCTGTAAGGTCAAAGATTTCTCTTATCTCTTATTAGGTAAACAAATTTTGTTGCATTCCAAGAGGTTGGTGTTCATTAATTGGGGGGGGTTGGAGCCAGTGAAGGTCTGGGAGAGGGAGGAGTGCTGGAAGCAGATGAGGTGTGACCAACAGCAGCACAAAATGAGACAAGGCACAAGTGTCCTTCCATATGCCTAGTGCTTTTCCCAAATAATCCCAATTTCCTCAACAGTTCAACATCTCTTCCAAACATGGGAGAGCAACTCAAAAATAGCAGAGCTGGTTGCCTAATAAATGTTTCAGCTGCAATCTTTCACTGGCTCAAAGGAGCTGTGTCTCAGGCTCTCAGGTTCTTCAAGCTTTAAATAATAGATTGGTTCCATTTTTCTTGACTTTACTTGAAATATTTTGTTATGACAGGTCCAGAACTGAAATTTTATACACTTTAGCATTTTATATTTTCCTTGACTTTTACTTGTTATGCCTTGTTACATCTTGTTATGACAGGTCCAGAACTGAAATTTTACACACTTTAGCATTTTGGTCAAATACAATTCTTTGCTGAATTCAGCCTGAATTTGTGCTGAGCCTTTTTTCTCCTTATTTCTCAACTCTCCTCCTGGCTGGAGTATGGTTACTGCTCTGGAATGTCACAGACCCTAAGTATCAGGAGAGCAGTAAAATGATTTCCTCGTACAGCCCTTGGCTCTCATGGAGACCAGTCCCCACCTGCTTTACGGGATGCTCTCACCCGTAACTCACCAGGCACGAGTTGTTTGGACAAACCCTCTCTGCCCTCCTGTGAGCTGCTGCTGTGCATCAAATGCATTTCCTCTTGGGGCTGAGGGAGACACGAGGGGAGCAGAGAAGAACAGCAAGCCAGGAGAGAGAGGGCACGGGAGGAATGAAGGGAGGAGACCCCACAGCCACGCCGGGGGAGCTCAGTGTCCGTGTGCTCGTCTGCAGGGGTGGCTTCTCTGCTGGTACCTTGCAACCAAGACCTTTCATTGGTTCTGTTCCAGCTGTGCACGGGCTCTCAGACATCCATGGTGGACACAGGCACAGCTGGACAACAAGGAGAACAGCAGGAGAGCTGAAGGGGTGCAGAGGGAATCTCTAGAGGGTCGTGGGAGGGCTGTAGGGCTGAGCCAAGCAGCTGGAGATGACAGGGACAGAGCAGTGCCAGCAAGCCTTCTACAGGGAAAGTCAACTTGACCCTGTTTTCTCTCCTTGCTAGATGCCCCACTTTACTTAAGGAACACTGTTGTGACTTAATGGCCAGGGAGAAATGGGAGCAAGTGCAGCAGAGGGATGCCAGGAGACCTATCAGGAGGGGAAAAAACAATCAGGTGTTCCCACGCCAGGCAGCAAAACTGTGTCCAGTGTCAGATTAAATCATTTCATCTTCCCCATCCCAAGCAAACATAGCTCAATCATAAATCTTGATTTCCTGATTCAATGAAGCCATTCCTGCCTTACAATTTGCTTTGGTGTCACTTGTGCAAACAAAGCTTTGCACAGAGGTGCAAGGAAAGTGAAATAGATGGGGAGAGTGGACAGGGAGCAGGGAACTGTGTGCCATGGGGGCTATTTCAGCTTGGGATGAGTGATTGGTACCTGCTTTCTGACCCTTGCCATGCCCTGTTGTAGGGGAGAAGCATCACTGATGCTAGAGTAGAATTATGGTAACAATTGAATTTGAAGGAGTTGGTGGGAGCTGACTGCTTATAACAATTAATTAAAAAGTGTGAACAACTTGCATCCTTTCTCCTATCCAAAGGACAAGCATTTCATTGCATAGTTGACTTTTAAAGGAAGTATGGATCCAAACTGAAATTAGTGTTTCCACACATTCTCATCAAGTTCCAGCTCTGGTTAGATGAGCCAAGAGTCAAGAAAATGCCCCACTGGTGGAAAGAAAGGTCATTTGGTGCAAAAAACCAGGTCAGTACTAGGGCACCATTTTGCTGCTGGCTCTTTTGCTCATGGAAAGGGTGATAAAGTTGTGAAATGGCTGGGAAGGTGGTGGAGTCACCATCCCTGGGAGTGTTTAACACAGCCTGGATGTGGCACTGGGTGCCAGGGTTGAGTTGAGGGGTTGGGGCTGGGTTGGACTCGATGATCTTGAAGGTCTCTTCCAAACCAGTCATTCTGTGAATTCTGTGAATTCTGTGATTTTTTTTTCTGCAACGTCAGGGTAGTGACCACTGCAAATGAAGCAAATGAAATTAAATGGAGGGGGTGGTTCAACAGGTGCTAATTGATGTCTTGACTACTGACCCAGCAGCTCTGGTGCTTTGGTGTGCTTCAGCCAGCTCTGCAGCTGTCCCACCTCAGGGCATGGCTGAGTTGTATTTAATTTTTAAACTGTATTTAAGAAAGTATCAAATGCCATGCAGGAAATGAGGATTTGGGGTAGAAAGTGTGAGGAACAGCCCTGTGAACACCAAAGTTAGAGGAGATGGAGGAGGAGGAGGTTCTCCTTGTGCCAGAGCTGAGATGTCCCCACAATCCATGGAGGTCCTTGTGCTGGATCAAGAGGACATTTCCTGAAGGAGCTGTGGCCATGGAGAGCTGATGCTGGATTATCCTGAAGGATAACCTGCTGGTTTATGCTGAAGGACTGTAGCACAGGGGTAGTACCTACAAATGAGCATGACAAAAGGGTGAGGAGCAGAGCAGCAGAGACAAACTGCCATGGACTGACCACGGTCCCTGTGCCACTCAGAGAGGGGAAGGTACAGCAGGGGAATCAGGAAGTGACCTTGAGCCTGGCAGAAGAGGGAGTGGGGAAGGTGTTGTTTAAGTCATATGTGTTTCTCTCTATACAAGTCTATTTTAATTGGCAATCAAGTCATTTTTCTGTAAGCTGGATCTGTTTTCCATGTGACAATAAGTGATTTCCCCATGCTTATCTCAACCCATGAACTTCTTCACCCTATTTTCTCCTCCTGCCCTGTTGAGGAGGAGGAATGGGAGAGGGGCTGGGTGGGTGTCTTGCAGCCAGCCAAAGGCAATCCACCACGCTTCCTTTTTTATCTGGGGAACTGAGAAGCTGGGCTCCACACAGAGAATGCCACTCCTGGAGTGGGATGGCCATCCAGTGGTGATTGCCACTGGGATCTGTGTGGAACAGCCACCCTGAGTGTGGGGTTATCTCACATGTTCTCTTTTTGTGTTCAATAGTAACACAAAAATTGATTTTTTGAATGGTTTTAGTCTGGTTGTAGTTTTCTTTCATCTCTCCAGGTCTGCAACAGTTGCCCCAGTGTTTACCAAGCCACAACCCTCACCTCCTCCAGTCCCTCCAAAAGACCACTTCCTCCACCTGCCTTGCAAAGCCATGAGAATAAAAGTCTCCCTGTGTTTACAGAGTCAACACACTGTTTGCATATCTAACAAACTAATCCTTTCATTTCTCACCCCATTCTCACAGTGGAGTTTGTGCCTCCTTCCTCCTTTTGATCTTCCTTTGGCTCCTGTGCTGTGTGAGGTTGACTTTGGTCATTTGCTGTCCAGGACTGTTGCATTGCACGGTTCAGGAGGCACAAGAAACCTGTTCCCGAGTTTCTGAGAAGTAATTTGTTTGCCAATCAGTAATAAATCAAAAACTAACAGCAGGAACAACCAGGATGTCAAATTTTTATCTACTAGAAGTTTCTGCATGTTCCCTCTAGAAAAGAAAATGCAGAATTCTGAGTAACACAACTTACTAAGACCCTGAGACTTTTTAAAGATTGATTGAGCCTTGAATATAAACTTGTTTTTAATTGAGGCCTGGACCAGGAGCTCTTCCAGGCTAAGTAACTCTGTGATTCTGAGGTTTTAATAGTGTTCAAACATTGCCAAATGTGCCACGTAAATGTGGGATCCTTGATGAGCACTTGGACTCACTGAAACTTCATCATGACCTGAGATATTTTATTTTCATAGAAATCCATTGTAAGTTCCATTGGATGCCCTTATTTTTCCATTGCCTTAAATCTGTTGTAAATCTCAGGGGGACAAGAGTTCTGCCAAGCTCTTAAGAGCTTCAGAAATAGAGAATTTGGGATGAATTTTCACTTATATTTGCCCCTACCCCCAGACTTAGAGCCCTTGCTCTCTGGGAAGGTTTTGTGCAGTTTAAAAAGGGTCAGTGTAAGACCACTGAAGTTTGGCTTTGGTTTGTGTCAAAAGCCGAAAAATTACTTTTGATGAACTTGCAGAGCTTAAACATCCCGACTCTTGCTGCCCTGATGAGGACAGAGCACACTGAGGGATGAACAGGGGAGAACAGAAAAAGAAGAATGTACTCCCTTTGCTGCAGGTTTTTGTGACATCTACTAGGACAGGATACAAAGAGTTTCCATTAGCCCTTGGGCTGTTTCCCACTGTAGTGCCACCCTTCCATGTGTTCAGTCACAAAAAGAAAAGCACATTTTGCATCAGCCTAAAGAGCAGCTTTGGCTCAGGTACAGCTCACACCCAAGAAAGGGACACTTTACATAAGTGACAGCAAGAGAACTCCACAGCCAAGGAGGGATGGCATGGAAAAACAGCAGCCACTGCAACCACTTCTGGTCTCTGCTTTCCCTGGATCAGATGCCAGGTGTTGTCCTGCTGTAGAACCAGGAAGCTGTAAATATTGGTTTACAAATCAAACATGTGGTGATGGAAGTGAGAGCAGGGGGGAACGTGGAATTGAGCTGCAGAAACCAGAGATTGGGCTGCTGAGCTGCACCCTCTGGGGACTCTGCCTATAAATTCTGGTGCCCTCCTGCTCCAGGAGCTCCAAGGAGATGGCTGCCACCAGGATCTTGTCTTGGATGGTGATGGTAATTCTTCACATTCAGGTGGATGCAGGTAAAGAGCCTCACTTCCAATCACCTTTGCAGCTTTATTTCACCTTGGGCTAACTTTGGGATTTAATGGCAAAAAAGAATTTACCAGCATGGCTCAGCTCTTTTGAAAACCATAAGCAGGTCAAACCTATGAGCTGAGCAAATCAATGTTATCAAAAAATGCTTAATGAATTTAATTTTTTCCCCCATTATTTTTTGTAAAGGAAATTAAAATTAATATACTGCAAAGCCAGTAATAACATTTTCTTATCCTATATATTGGGATAATGGATTTAAAGACTAGTAAGTATTTTCTGAACTAAATACATGTTTATTTTAAAGAGGGTGAGGTGTACAAATGGTGGAATTTGTATTTGATTAGATTATAATGGAAATTACTGTAATTTTTGTTAGTCTAATTTCCCACAGGCTAATTCCTGTTAGGAGTGTAATTTAATTTGGTTGCAGAGTCAATGATCTGCCCAGCCACTTCCACCCCTTTGGGGACCAATACAAATATTGGTGGGTCTGATGGGAGGGGGGATATTTCAAACAGGGTGAAATAGGCTTTTTGTATTCCAAAAACACTTTCCCCCTTTCCAGGTGAGACCTCCCTGACTGAGCAGGGTGTCATCCCGGTGCTGGGAGAAACAAAACCTTTCTTTTTAAGCAGCTGCTGCTGCGACCTCTATGCAGGGATGAAAAAACATCAAAAAGTGTTGCCACAGCTGCTATGTTTTCACCCCTTCCTCTTTCAGGTGTAAAAAGCCATCCAGCCCCACAGACCTGTGAATATCCAAGTGGTGTACAGGTTTCCCCCTGGATTATGAGGGCTTCATTCTGCTCCCCATCCCTGTCTTCCAGCTCAGGGGGCTGAGAAAACTTCAAGGCACTCAACTTCAACTGGTCCCACTTCAAGGCACTCTCTGGGCCAGTTGCAGGTTTTGGTGGGCTCACAAAGAGTGTTGATGGTTCATGGAAGAAAACACTGCTGAGATTGGCTAAAATAGTTAGAAATCTCCTGGATCTCAAGGTTGATGGCTGTAAATTACTAGGACAAGGTTTGAGGAAGTTTCATGTTAAATTTGCCCTGTTGACCTTCACATATGCTATCTTTTTTTTTCTTCTCTAGTAACAATAGATCCCACAACTACTGAATCCACGACTCGTAAGTAGAATTTATTAGATGGTTACTTTATATAATAGTGATAGAGTTATGGTTTTGTCACAGTATTTACTGTTGGGAGCAAATTAGTATGATAAAAAAGCTCACATTTTCTTTAGGGTGGGGATGGGGATGTAGATGACAGTTATCTGGGATGGAGGAATGTTCCTTCAACATCTTTTTTCTTGTTTTTGTTTCTTGTGTTAACACTGGCAGATTCTCCAACAAAAACACCTCAAACAGATAACTCTAAAGTTATATAAAAACGTGCATTGTTTTATAGAGTTTGCCTTGCTAAATGTTCTCTCTCCCAGGCTGATGAAAACTCTTCCAGTCCAGTGGTAGCCAACACACCAGGGTAGTCAGTGTCCTTCAGACTGGGGTCCCAGGTGCTGAATGCACCCATGTAGAATCCACGTGGCAGCACAAACGTGCACTGAAAACACAGCATATAGCTGAATATTTGTTGCTCCTCTCACAGAAAGGATGAGAGTCATCACTGCAATGAAGAGCTTCATTAAATCACTGGTTGAGTTAAAAGCTTAGGGTAATAAAGCCAGATTAAACATGTATAAATGCAGCAGTTTCTGAGTATCTCTGAAATCCCACAGCAAAGTTATCCGCGGTTTAAACAGACAAAATTTGGCTGAATACAGGTTTGTAGTACAAAATTTGGCTGAATACAGGTTTATAGTACGAAGTTTGGCTGAATACATGTTTGTAAACTGCTTTTCAGCAACCTGCCTAGGGACAGAGCAGGACTCACATGAAATGCCGTCATTAATTCTGATTATAGGTTTGGTGCTGTCACCAGATCCAAAATCATCGGGAAAGAGATCACCTTTCTCGGCGTGCCAGAGCCCTGTCCTGCGGGACACCTCTGATCTCTTAGTGCCACCTGGAGGCTTTCCATCAGCCCTAGCAGGGAAAACCTTCTCTGACCCAGTTGGTGAAGCCAGCTGCGTGGCATTGATGGAATCAGTGGTGCTGGGGGTGGAAGGGAGTGAGAGGTGGCTTAGATGTGGTGGGAATGTCAGCAGAACCTGGGAGGGGAGCTTTGGGAAACCCCCTTTTAACCCGCAGTGTACTCCATGAAAATAATGAGATGTGCAGCCTTCCTTGTCACTGGCCTTGTTCTGACCACCTCCCCAGATATTTTATGTCATCTTCATTTCTGGTGAGCTTTTTGTTTCTTGATTTGGAGAAAGAGGAGTTTTTTCACAGCCTATTTTCTTATCAGTAGCAGAGCTGTCACCTCCTGATCAGGTCAGGTGAAACCCCAGATAGAATAAAAAAATTGCTCCAGCTGAAAAAGACCTTTAAGATCATCAGTTTAACCATTAACCCAGCAGCCCCACACATTTACATGTCTTTTACATCCCTCCAAGGGATGGTGACTCCACCGGTGCCCTGGGCAGCCTGCTCTTTCCAGGAAGAGGTTTCCCCTTATCTCCAGTCTGACTTGAGAATATGTCTAAAACTGATCCCACTTCAAGGCACTCTCTGGGCCAGTTGTAGGTTTTGGTGGGCTCACAAAGAATGTTGATGGGTCATGGAAGAAAACACTGCTGAGATTGACTAAAATAGTTAGAAATCTCCTGGATCTCAGGTGTGTTGTCTGCAAATTGCTAGGGACTGAAAGAGGGTTTGAGGAAATTTCATGTTAAATTTGCCCTGTTGACCTTCACATATGCTATCTTATTTTTTTCTTCTCTAGAAACAACACGTCCCCCAACAACTGCCCCCACGACTCGTAAGTAGAATTTATTAGATGGTTACTTTATATAATAATGATAGAGTTATGGTTTTGTCACAGCATTTATTGTTGGGAACAAATTAATAGGATAAAAAAGCTCACATTTTCTTTAGGGTGGGGATGGGGATGTACATGAAAAGTAAATTATCTGGGATGGAGGAATTTGGGGATGGCTTTGCCCTTCAACAACCAGCCTCCTTGCTAGAATGAAAAAGATCTTCTGTCACTTGTGCCTTTCAGTGGGATCTTGACTCACTAGAGGAAGGGTAGAAAGCACAACTCCCAAAGAATTTGTTCTAATTCTCTTGCTCTCTGTGTGTTTTTTTCCCTCTGCTTGTTCTCCACAGTTTCAATCATAGTTGATGGTGAGTCTGTCTGCCATGGTTGTTGTCCCAGCCCTGGGCACAGGGATGCCATGTGCCTGCCCCTGCTGCCCCAACCTCTCCATCCCACAGTGTGGGAGCTGAGAAGGGGCTTCCAGCCCTGGGCCGTGCTGCAGGCGGATGCAGCCATGCCCAGAGAGGGTGTGGGATGTCATTCCCTGGACCCAGAGCACCACTGGCTTGACCAAGGGGTTTGTGTCTCTCAGAGATCCTTCTGAGGCTGGGCGATGGGCCCAACGAGTGCGCAGGCAATGTGGAGATCTACTACTTTGGAGGCTGGGAGAAGGTGTGTGGCTACCTGTGGGACATGCGGGACGCCCAGGTGGTGTGCAGGCAGCTGGGCTGTGGCTACCCTCTCGCAGTCATGCACCCCTTCCCTCCGGGCAGCTGGAACTCATTCATGTTTACTGAGGTGAACTGTACTGGCAACGAGAACTTCCTGTGGCACTGCCCCTACAAATACCAGCACAATGCCTGTTACCATGGAATTGCTTCTGTCGTATGCTCAGGTGGGTGTCTGTGTTTTGGTGCCATTTTCCTGAAGAAAATCCGTCTGGATTGAGGTGGGATGAAGGCTGCCCAGCCCTTGCTCCGTGCTCAGCATGGCAGCAGCAGGTGGTAGGTTCACGTGGGTGTTTCAGAGGGAGCATCAATCTCAGGTTTGCAGACTGTACCTGGGAAATCTGGGGTTTGGGCATCACTCCTGCACAGAGCAGTGTGTGAGGAGAGGGGTGGTTTTATAGTCAGGCCACCCTCCCCTTGGGTCCCTCCATAACTTTCCAATAAATGAAATACATGGTCCAAGGGGAGCCAAGCAGTTCTAGTGCCTCACATCCTCTGATTTTCTCCTTCCAGACTCGGGAATAACAGTGACTCCAGCAACAGGTAACCAGAGATTTCTGTTCATATGTGGGTTTTCCATGGGGTTTTCTTTCTTGCCATGCTCCGTGTAGGCTGCACTTACAGACCCTGGCAAATGTCCCTAACATACAGGGAGATGTGGGATTGCTTGGGATCATTTGGGATTGAACACCCAGTTCTGTGGGAGAGGGTTGGCACTGGTCTTCATGGTGCTGCAGTGGGGATGCCCTTGAGCAAGTCCCGGCAGAATTGGCACTGCAGCCATCTCAATCCTGCCACGTTGCAGTGCTGACTGTGGGCTTTGGCTTTCATTGGGGTTCAACGGGGTTCCTGCTGGAGAGAGGGGACTCCCAGCAGGATGATCCTCTTAGGCAAAACACTGCTTGCTCAGCTGCCTCTCTCCCTGCAGCACCACCCGTCTCCAGAATGATGTTCACCACGCCGTGGAATGCAACAGGTATGTCCAGAGGAGCTGTGGGGCTGGACTGTCTTCTGCCCTCCACTATTCATCACAGAACCACAGGATGGTGAGGTAGGAAGGGATCTCTGGAGTACATCTGGTCCTACATCCTGGCTAAAGGCAGGATCAGCCAGAGCTGGCTTCCCAAGACCATATCCAGAGGGCTTTTGGCTATTTGCCACCTCTGTGGACAATCTGTGTCTGTGCTCAGTCACCCTTGCAGAGAAAAAGCATCTCCTGATGTGCAGAGGAATCCCCTGTGTTTCAGTTTGTGTTCATGGTCTCTTGTGGGGCACCACTGGGAAGAGCCTGGCTTCTGGAGAGAGTTGACTCCCAGCAGGTTGTATCTCTTAGGAAAAATGCTGGGAGTGAACCCTGCTGATTTCTCCCTGCAGCACTGGGTGCTTCCAACTCACATTCCCTTCTGTCATGGACAAGGTGGGGGAGATTTAAGTCCAGAGGAGTTAAAGGGTCTGATTATCTCCTTCCCCAGGCGTCCCACTGGACAGCCAACCCCATGGATTGGGTTACTGTATGAGCTGGGCTGGGGGGATGCAGGGGTGATGTTTTGGGGTGCCTGGAAGGGAGGGTCTCTGTGGGGCTGTGGCAGAGTCTCCTTGGTGGGACCATGCCCTTCTCTGATGGATTCTGGCGATGGGATAAGATCTCTCTGCCCGTGCCCGGGCTCTGCTCTTTTCCTCAGGGAACTTCTCCTGTGGTGGCTTACTTCAGGGATTGTCTGGCACCATCCAGAGCCCGAGATACCCCAACCCCTACCCCGACAACTCCTACTGCGTGTGGCGCATCCGGCTGCGGGACCCGGCCCGCAGGATCCAGCTCCAGTTTACGGATGTGGAGTGAGTCCAGCCAGGCTCTGGGGTGGCTTCACCCCACTGTGGGGCCTTGGCAGCCTCTGCCCGAGCACTGGGGTGAGGTGGGAATGGGGCTGGGCTGCTGGGACCTGCGGCTGTGGTCAGACAGGTCCGCCTCTTATGAGCACTGGGTGATGGGGGAATAGGGCTGGGCTGCTGGGACCTGCGGCTGTGGTCAGACAGGTCTGCCTCTTATAGGAAACAGGTGATCCCCCAGCTAGGAATAATGTGCTCTGACTCCATGAATCAGAATGCTGAACAATTGTTGTGGTTGTGAGGTCTCCAGGATGAGGGAAGAGATTAATCTGACTCCATATTCTTAGAAGGATATTAATTATATTACATTACATTACATCATATCATAAGAAATTATATACTAAAACAATACTAAACTACAGAGAAAAGGATGCATCAAAAGGCTAGAAAAGAATGAATAATAAAAACCTGTGACTCCTCAGAGAGTCACTCACAGCTGCCTTTGATTGGTCATTAAGTTAAAACAATTCACATGGAACCAATCCAACATGCACCTGCCACGTTCCAAAGCAGCAAACAGAGGAGAAGAGAATCAGATAATTATTATTTACATTTTTCTCTGAGACTTTTTAACTTCCCAGGAGAAGAAATCCTGGTGAAGAGATTTTTCAGAAAATATCACGGTGACAAACAATTGCTTTATTTATTATATTACACTAATATTATATTATAACTATACTGAAGAGGTACTATACTAAAGAATATTAAAGAAAAACCCATGACTGCCTGAGCCAGCCAGGACACAGCTTTGAGTGACTGGGTAACCACTCAAAAGAGCCTTCACCCGTGTCCAATTAACCAAATCACTTTCAGTGAACAATCTCCATAACACATTCCGCGTGTGCAAAAACAGGAGCAGTGAACAGCGATAAGAATTGCGTTCTCTTCCTCTCCGATATTCTCGCTGCCTTCCCCAGGAAAAATCCTTGGGAAACTTGTGCCTGCTCTCTCTGAGGAGGGCTGAGGCCACGTCTTCCCCATGCAGGCTGGAGGGCAGCAGCTGCTCCTTCGATGCCATCGAGGTGTTCGACGGGGGCTCGCCGCAGAGCGCGCGGCTCGGCCTCGTGTGCCGGAACGACCACCGCGTCTTCAACTCCTCGGGCAGCCGGCTCACCGTCGTGTTCCGCAGCGACAGCAGCGTCACCCGGAGAGGCTTCCACGCCTACTACTCCTCGTTTCTCGCCTTCGACACCACCGTGGGTAAGGCTAGAGCTGTCCTGTACTCCGCGCCAGGGCGGGAGCTCATGCTCAGTCACAAAGAGCTGCTCTCAACACCTTGTGGGCATCTCAACACCCTCTGGCCCCACTCACCCTGGCTCAAGGGCATTTTTCCACACAGGATGGCCATGAAGCTGCTGCCAGACACTGTTTCTTTGCCTGGTGGGCAGGAATGGGAATCTCTCCGCCTCCCACCCCCCCAGTGCTGAGCTATCATCAATTTTCCTGTTCTATGCTGTGGGCAGAGGAGTTGCTCAGCCCTGGCACACTCATTGCTGCAGAGCCCAAAGGCTACTTCTTGTTTTTTCAAAATAAAGGGAGCTGATGTACACAGCCACAGTGCAGAGAACTCCTTGTGGCAGCTGAGGAGCTGTGTGGCAGCAAGGCTGGCTGCTGCTCCATCTGCAGTGCCAGGCTCCCTCTGAATGGCAGCAGCACCCTCCGCTTGGCCGTCCCCTCCTCCCAGTTTGGTGTCACCAGCAAACATGCTGAGGGTCCACTCCATCCCACCCTGCTGGCCATTAACAAAGGAGATCAAGGCCCTGATGATGGGAGCTGGGCTCCCATGGGCTGGTGGGTGGAGGGGGAGGGCTTGGAGCCACGCAGGGGCCTGCCACGTGTCCAGGCAGTGATTGTGGCTCTGGGGTGGCAGTGTCCCTTCAGGAGCCCTTCTGGAGAGGGGGGACCCCCCAGAGGTCTGTTTCTCTTAGGCAAAATACTGAGTGCATTTTTAATATTTTTTATCACCTGCTGCTCTCTCCCTACAGCTCCCAATACTACTCTGTCACCACCCACAGGTAGGTTTGGAGTACCTGGGTAAGTTCATGTATTGGATATTTATCAGCATTCCTTTTTTTTTTGAATGCTGATATTGAATTTGGTATTGATATTTAATATTGATAGGATATTTGAATGTAATATTATTTGATTTTTTTTTCCTCCTCCCTTTTGTCATTAGCAATTGTAATAGGGGGTTCCTCTTTCAAGGAACAGCTGATGTCCGTAATTCCAGACTCAATACTGTCCAGTGCTGTGGAAAATATTTGTGTCCTGCTAGTGCAGGCACTGCAGATCAGCATTATAAAATCTATTCAGTGTGGTTAGCATCTCCTAACCTGCATTCAGATGTATATGAACCTAATGGAGAGGCTACTGAAGCTGACAAGAAGTCACTATCTCTACATTTAGCCATGAACTTCACACAAACATACTCCAAATGCAAGCCTAAAGTTGCATACGTATATTTTTCTTCTTGTACTTTTCTCTGCAGAATATTATTCTTGTGGTGGCTTGCTCTCCTCCTCATCCGGTACCTTACAGAGTCCATTTTACCCCAGAAATTATCCAAACAATGCCAACTGTGTGTGGGAAATACAAGTGAAAAGCAACTTCCGTGTCACACTTGTATTTACAGATATTCAGTAAGTAAGAATTTATTACTTGGGAAGGTGAACTTGTGGGACTGACAACTTGGACTTACTAAGCAAAAGACCACTTGCTTTCAAGGATTTTTATCAAAGCTTTTAGTAAGTCTGGAGAGGGAAACTGTGTTCATTTTTGTTTATTTAGTCATCTACTGAGAAATTGGAAGTTGTAGCTTCTGTTCCAAAGATTTGACAATCATATCAATCAAATGTATTCTTGTGCTATAAAGAGCTCATCTGACTGAAAACCCAAACCAACAAGCAAACAAAAACAAAAGAACATAAAAACGAAACATAAAACTAAATAGTTATGTTACTTCCCAGGATGGAAGGTGGCAGATGCCTCTCTGACTACGTGGAAATCTATGATGGCCCCCTGCACACCTCTCCTCTCCTTGGGAAGATTTGCTCTGGTTATTACCCCACGTACACATCGTCCTCAAACCTGCTGAGTGTCCGCTTCCACAGCAACTCCCGATACACGTACAGGGGGTTTCAGGCCAACTATCATTCCTCTCCAGCTGATGACAGCACCAGTAAGTTTGTCTTTAAAGCAGAAACATGCTTTTCAATTATTTTCTAGTTCACTGATTGCTAATCTTGTTAGTGTTTAAATTAGGTCTGTAAAATTTAAATTAGATCTGTAGCGTTTTCGTGGAGATTCGAGTCCATGCTTTGGATTCTGAGCTCCTTCTGCCATATCAGCTGCTTCTGCAAAAAATAGTGTTTATTTAACCCACTATTTACAACCTTTTTTGGTCACTGCAATGAGCTTGTAACATATTTTCTTTGCCATCCACTAGCACTGCTGTGTTTGCCAGACTACATGCACGTGGTTGTGAGCAGATACTTCCTTCAGTCCCACGGCTACTCTGCTTGGAACCTCACCCTGAACGACCCCTTTTGCACACCCAACATCACATCAAATGCTGTGTCATTTGACATTCCGTACACTCGCTGTGGCACTGTCAGAGAGGTAGGAGTGAGCGTTTCAGCAAAGTGGGCAAAAGCGGGAGGATATAAAAATTCAAATAGGAGAATTTGCTTTGTAAACCAGCACAAATTGAAAGCCACCCGGGCTCTTCAGGGACTGGGAGTGTCCTGGTGATTGTGGGTTGTCTCCCTCTCTCCTGAAAGATATTTGCACTTGCATTTCCTGCTTCTGCTAACAAAGCATTCCCTTACAGCCCGTTATCCATCTCCAAAGGAATAAGCTGTGGAAGGATACAAATACTTGGCATTTTCAAGGTCCCAGGCTGAGTGTGATTGCTATAAAGGTTTCAAAGTTTTCATGAAACGTGACTAATAATCTTGTAGCCAGATTTCAGCTTAATGTGCCAGACCTGAACCTTCATGTACTCAGTGTTGTACAGGTTGTATTTAATTCTGTTATATCTGCATTTATTGTGAGTAGTTTCCTAGGTCAAAATTGTGGCCACTGAATATCACATGAAGATTACAGATTTTTATCCTGAGAACAGAAATTACTAGATTCAGACTTTTCCACACCAGACTTTCTGGGAAATACTGTTTTTACAGTGCACATTGCTGTAAGCAAAGTTCAGAATGTAGAATAGGGCACCTGACTATATGAATTAATTTTGCATTTTATTTTGTGTGCCAAACAGGGAAACAACAACACAATCAGCTATTCCAACATTATTAGAGGGTCATCTTCTGGTACATTAATCACAAGAAACAGAAATCTTCTCTTGCATGTCAACTGCAAGATGCTGCAGAACACGTGGGCAAAAACGATGTACGTCGCGGATGACAACTTTGAAGTCAACGAAACTCAGTATGAGAGATACGATGTAAACCTCACATTTTATGACTCTTCAAGCTTCTCAAGGCCAGTGTATGACTCACCCTACCGTGTTGGCATCAACCAGAATTTGTTCCTGGAAGCTTCCCTGCACAGCTCTGACCCATCACTGGAGCTATTTCTGGACACTTGCGTGGCATCTCCCACTCGCCACAATTTTACAACAAAATCCTATCCTATAATCGAGAATGGGTGAGTTCTTATGAATTACAGTTAGAGATAAAACTGCCTTCAAACTCCTGTATCTCTTATTAATTTTTTTAAAATTTAATGGAATAGTGTGAATATAGCAGACAATAATGACAACTTCTAATTAATTAATAGACAAGAGCATTCAGGGTTTACTAGGAAAAAGGGGGTGGACTGACCCAAAGTATAACACACACATACACACCCCATAGCTTAAAATAACAAGTAGACTAAATGGCTATGGCCAGTTCATGGTGGATTATTATAATTATCATTATCATTATTATCATAATAATGGCATACCTCAGGTAAGATTAATTTACCCTCACAGAATCATACAAACACCAGGTATCAGACACATGACAGGCTGAGGAAAGGCAATGTCGTTCAATTCTGCCAAAAAAAGGCACTTTAGTTTTCCAACTTGCAGTTTTCTGAACTGTTTTCATTATGCTCAAAAATCACTTCTCATTTTGTGTGTTTTATTGCATGTAAATAACTGACTGCAGTGTGTATTCATGAGAGGGTTTTTTTGTTTCCTTTTAGGTGTGTCAAAGATCCCACCTATGCTACCTATTACTCACCCTACAGACACATCCTCCGGTTTAAATTCAATGCCTTCCAGTTCATTCAGAGCAATCCAGAGGTCTACCTGCAGTGTGAGCTGGTGGTGTGCAGGGCCTATGACTATTCCTCCAGGTGCTACCAAGGCTGTCTTCAAAGGTCCAAGAGAGAGGCAAGCTCTGACCTAGAAAGTGTGATTGTTGTTGCTGGCCCAATACAGCTTTGGGAACCTGGTTCTGAGACTGGGTCTGAGTAAAGCTGTCTCCTTTGACGGGTAGCATCTTTAAATGCCAATTGAATTCTGGAAGAAACCATGCTGCTGGATTGCCAGAAACTCTAGAATAAATATTAGGAATGTGCTGACTGACTCATGCTTGTTAATCCCACTTCCTCTCAGTCATCCCCATATAACAAAAATGCCCCCATAGCAGTTCTATGGGGAGTGAAATTTGTGATCTTTAAGCTTTTTGTTCGTTGTTTGCTTTCTTATTGGTAAAACTGGAATGTTGAAATTGCAGTTTAGGTTCTATAAACAAGTTCTATTAATATACATATACCTTTGTCTGGATGTATTAGAGTGCAAGAAATCTGTTAATCTAGAATAATATTTTCCAGCATTTTTTAATGCCTTATTATACATATACCTTTGTCTGGATGTGCAAGAAATCTGTTAATCTAGAATAATATTTTCCAGCATCTTTTAATGTTTTGGGACATAACACTATGAGATAAAGCATGACCAAGTAGTTTCATCTCTCCCAGAGCTGAATTCATTTGTCATCCAGGAAAACATGAATTCAGCTGCTGTTCCCTCTGATGTTTCCTGTGTGTACTTTAATTTTTGCTGGCAGTTCATGAAATCACAGAATATCCTGAGCTGGAAGGGATCCACAGGGATCATTGAGTCCAGCACCTGGCCCTGAACAGACACCCCAACAGTCCCACCCTGGGAATTCCTGGGAATGTTGTCCAAATTCCTGGACAGCCCAAACTCTCTGGTAGCCTCAGGGCCGTGCCCATTCCCTGGGGAGCCTGGGCAGTGCCAGCACCCTCTGGGGAAGAACCTTTCCCTGAAACCCAAGTAAACCCCCTGACACAACTTCAGGCCCTTGAGCCCTGCCACTGGCCCCCAGAGGTTGGTGCTGTCCCTCACTGCCCCTCAGGAGGAAGCTGCAGACCAAAATGAGGGCTCCCCTCAGTCACTGCTCTCACTCTGGATGGGTTTCTCTTGAAGCAGAAAATGAAGAAAGTGATTCCATGCCAGATTATGTAAACCTTGCTAAACACCTGATCACAGTGTCTGAGTAATTTGGTGGATTGAGCAATTTCCTCAATTGAGTAATTTCATTGATGATTCAAGATTAAAATCCAAGCCTGACTGGCTTTCCTTGGTGGAGGTTCACTTCATGAAAAGAGGTGGGCTTGATGTAACAACTCAACATTGAAGGAAGCCAAAAGTCGAGGGAAAGTTTAACAACCCTCAGATTGGTTGCCTGCAATATTAGACTCTTATTTAATCATAGCACATGAACTATAAAATCCATCTTCTCAAGATGGATATCTTGGTTCTGCCAGGGAAAAATACAGCCAGATCTGCTGTGAGATCAGCACAGCACAACACCCTGTGCCTGTAACACCATCATGTGGCATGTACAGGGAACCAGCACTGCTGTGGCACCCCAGATCCTGGGTTCAGTTTTGGGCCCCTCACTGCAAAATGTCATTGAGGTTCTGGAGCATGTCCAGAGAAGGGCAAGGAGCTGGGGAAAGGTCTGGACCACGTAAGGAGTGGGAGCTGGAAATGGCTTCAAAACTTCCCAAGGGAAAAAAGCTTAGATCAGACTTCAGTGCCTTTCACTTATTGTGTGCCACAGTGATAAAATAATTGCACCAGAGCTGGAGGAAATTTTTCAGTGGAAGGCTCCTGAAGGGGATGAGGGCTGGGAGATAACAGGGGCTGAGGATGGAAGTTTAATGACACACAAGGGTTTAATATTTGTGACTTAAGTCACTGGAGTAGCTAATGGTTTATTATGACCTTCTGTTATCATGCAACCACAACCTACAAAATTGCAGTAAAACCCCACATCTCTATATTTTCCCCCTCTATTAAATACTGGTGAATTAAAAAAAAAATAAAAAATCAATGTCCCCAAAGAGGCATTTGCACTGTCACATTTGCATTAAGGCCTGAAGTTCTCTCACCATTCCCTGGCTATGTATAATAAGTCTTTTCCAGCTCTATATAAAATCTTAAGTTTAGGGCAAATGGTGTAGTCATTAAAGTGCTCTTAGTAAATGCAAATGATGATTATTAATAAATGGCATCTTCTCTCAAATTTTCTATTTTTAACTACTCTTCCCTGAAGTCCTTCACCAAATCTTATTTGAAAAGGCTTCTTCTAGCATTTATTTCTCTTTCAAGGCTGCTGGTCACTTCAGTAAAAGCCCACATTATTATAAATCTTAGCTCAAGTTCTTGGTTCAAAATGACACCAATCTTGCTACACTGTAGGGTGGCAGCTACAAAGAGAACAATGGAATAAGTCAATGGCTATTGTCTTTTTCTTTTTGAAGGGATGACTCACCCATCCTTATGAAGGACAGAGTAGATTCATTGTGTTGTTGTACTCACATGGACCAGGGAACACGGAAGCCAGAGCTGAAGCACAGTGAAATCCTCAAGAAAACATATAGGTCAGGGATGAGGATAAGATAGCAAGAGATGAGGTGTATGAAATTCTAGGTCACAAACACAATGCAGAATCTTTCCAGAGTACTTTGAATGTTTCTATGGATCTGATCTGCTCTGGGACCATATTTGTTGAGCTTGAAGTCAGACTAATATATCTGAATATCAGTGAAAGCCATAAAAATATATGCTATATACTCTCATTTTAAGATGTGTCCACCACCTTTTCCCCTTTTGTTCTATTCATTGTATTTAGATAAATAGACCAATACAGAATTCATCTTCTCTAATAAAGAGATGTTTGCTGAAGTGCCTGGCTTAGGCAAGCAAGGCTTGCCAGCTCATTCCAGCAGGCTGTGAGCCCTTGGGCAGCCAGTGCCTGCCCATGAATTATGGTGCAGCCAAATTCTGGGCTCTGTTCTTTACACAAATTCTTTTTTATATATAAAACAGCAAACACAGCGTGGAGCCCACCAGGCAGACCTCACCTCTGACTTCGAACGGTAAAGAACAAAACCCGCATGGCCATGCCCTGGTTGTGCAGGCTGTGCCCTGTGCAGGAGGGTGTGCACAGTCCGGCTTGGTTTTGGGGAGTTTTCCAGTGTGGGGGCTGAGGTATGTTTGCCCTCAACATGCACCATCGTTGTGAAATTTATAAACTCAGAGCCTCACTCGAGCAGTGAGTAGTTCAGCAAATATCTTCAGGATGGATTTCAAGAAGTGTGTTGGAGGCCTGATCAAGCAGAGGTTAAAGGCAAACACTTAACTGCCCCAGGGGTTTATAAAGAATTTGGGAGACTAGTCATAGTAGAAAAGTTATGCACATAACTTATTTAAACATTTGCTAATTCAAATATTTTATTTTAATGGTTTCTCTTGGCTCACAGTTAAATGTCAATGCATATTTGCCATCATGCAATATTTGGTACAGCAATATATGTGTAAAACTGGTTTCATTTACTGTGGCAAAATTAACTAACTTCTCTTCCCTGTCTATGAATTGTTATAGAGTGCTTTGTAATGTGGGGGTGAGGTGGGATGTATTTACAGTTGTCATTGCCCACTCTTTCAGTAAATACTGCTGCCTCACACGGTCAGATGTAGAGCATCTCTCACACCATAAAAGGCACACTGGCAAAAATCATCTGCCCAGGTAGGTGGGGAAAAAGGAAAATGTGATAGGAAATGGCACATACTACACTTTGTTTTCTATCTTGGCACCTGTGTGATTCAGAGAAAATAAAACATGCAGCTCAGAAAACTAAACTGTTGCACTGAGTACTGGACTGCAGATAGGAAAAAAAATATTTTGCTCATTGGTAATTTTTTCTTTGGTGCAGATTTGGATTATTAGAGCTGCACATTCCTAAGATAAAATTTTTTCTTTGGTGCACATTTTTTAATTATTAGAGCTGCACATTCCTAAGATAAACTGCTTGATGCTTTTAGATCTTTGATTAGTACAAGGAAGAATGTAAACAATATTAAGTTTAAAGATTTGTGACAGATACAAACAAAAATCTAGTTCTACTTTAAATGACAAATCAAGGCACACATATTTTATACAAAAGGTACCAATTACTGGAGCCTTGATCAGAAAAAATACAAAACCAGTAATCCTGCCTTTTTCATTATGGCTCTTTCAGGTTTTTTCTGGTTTTTATCTTTGAAAGAAAAAATTCCTAGAAGAGACAAAGCATGGAGCAGCACACATAGACATCTGCTGTCCAGGGAATTTCTGGAAGACTTTTCACAAACTGGGCTGAGTGGGGAAATTATCAAAACCTTTCTCAGCTAGAAATGTGGACTTACATGTTTAAGAATCAAGACCTTTAGTGCAGTTGGCTTCTTTAGGATAAAGAATATTATGAATTATTATATTATGAGTTGTTACTAGTAAATTAATGTGTTTTTTCTTTCCCTTAGGACCACAGGTGTTTCTCTGCTCATAAATAGGCTTGAAACACAAATACATGAGACATGGTACCACAGTCATATACAAAAAGGAATTCTTACTGTATTAGCTTTTGAATCTCCTTAAACACTATACATACAGAAGTTTAGTGACAATTTTTCTTTTAATCCACTAACATTCTAAGTAAACACAGTTTATTATTTTAAAGTAGTTTAATTCAGCTTTTTATTCACTGATTCATAAAAAATATAATTTTTATAATTATAAAAATATAGAAGGAATATTGCTTTAAGATAATTTCTTTTTAATTTTGATAATTTCTGGGAGGTATATAGGATCAACAGAAATCCTTGACAAAGATGTAATATTGTGGCCAAGGAATTAGTTTCAAATACATTTTCAATGCTCATGGGTCATTGAAAGGCTTCAGAAATAAGTAATTCTTGTCAAGTTGTGAGGAAGAAATAATTCTTTTTATTCACTGAATTAGAAAAAATTATAATAATTTAAAATAATAATAATTTAATAATTTTATAATTATAAAAATATAGAAGGAATATTGCTTTAAGATAATTTCTTTTTAATTTTGATAATTTCTGGGAGGTATATAGGATCAACAGAAATCCTTGACAAAGATGTAATATTGTGGCCAAGGAATTAGTTTCCAATACATTTTCAGTGCACATAGGTCATTAAAAGGCTTCAGAAATAAGTAATTCTTGTCAAGTTGTGAGGAAGAAATAATGAGGCTGGCTAAAGGCAGACATAGAAACACATTCTTGAAAGGGTGAAAGAACAGGTAAAAGCATTTAGACAAAATGGTGTATATAAGGTCAGTTTTAGCTTTCTGGAGAAGGACTTTGATGTTTATCAGTTTGTATCAGCTTTAAAGCATCATAAAAGTTGAGCAAGATATTATAAACAGAATGGTGATGAGAAGTAATTACTGTGGAACTGCTAAATGACTGATTCCTTTTCTGTTTCTTGCTTTGAAAGATCTTTCACACAGGCAGAAATGCATATCACTTTCCTCTATACTTCCCTTGGGTTCAGATGTCCCCCATAAAGCCCCCAGCAGCAGCACAGCCCCTCTGGTGGGTTCTCTTTTTGGAGCACAGTGGCTTTTCCTGCATTTAGGCATTTTTGAGCTGCCTTTCCTTGAGCCACTCCCTTTGGCAACTGGCAGCATCATTTCTTCCTGCTGGTCCTGCTGGCTTCAAGGCAAGGTCAGGGCAAGAGCAGGTGGTCACCCTGAAGAGAGCTGGAGGTCGTGGAGCCGAGCTGCTTTCTGTGCTCACAGCACCTCCTTCAGGAGCCGCCTGCCCCAGAATCCCCCACATCGGGAGGTTTTTCTCTCTGTAAAACTCAGAAAGGAAAATGGCATTAAATGAGCACTGCAGCTTAAAACACTTCAAAGAACTAAGGGTGATTTGAACAGAGGAGTGTAAAAAGGGGGTGGAGGTCAAAAGGTTTGAGGATCAGGTACAATGCAGTAGGAAAGAATTCAGCTGCAGGGTCACTCAAGGCAGGAGCAGATATGACCCAGTAAGAAATATCCACCAAGGTTATTCTCTCCCAGAAACCCTTCAAATTCAGGCAGTTCTGACTGCTGGGGACACTCACTATGTGGCAAAAATGCACGTGTGTCATGTCACAAGGGAAGTGCAGGTTTGTTCATACAAGGGGTTTTGAGACCGTGAGACCCAGGACACCCCCCAAACACCAGACACGGGCATGGGTGGTGTACAGATTGATTTCACCTGCATTTGGCTTTTCATAAAACATCTGATATTTATCTTTACCACTTTCTTAGACTTAAAACTGAACATTTTCCTTTTGTGGGGACAAAGCAAAGGAGACTAAGAGTAAATATCTGAGTGCTGGGTGCTCCCCTGGCAGGGTATGGCCCATCTGGTACAACACAAAATGAATAGGGACAGATACAGGAATTGAAGTCCTGCACAGCATTCCTGGGCAGATACAGAGACTGGTTTTATTCAAGCTCCATCCTGCAGGAATCATATGACACAAAACCAGCACAGAGTGTTATTGTAATTCTTCTTATTCCATTGCTAAACTGAAAGAAAATGATTGATCAATGAACATAGCAGAGCTTTCTGTAGTGTTTAACAGCTCTAAGAGCCACTAAAAATGACTAAAAACTGTGATTGAAAAATTCAACAGTTGTAAACTTCATTTTTGATTGAAATTGCATAGAAAATATTTGGATTTTAATCCAATGATAACAGTATAATTTATTGAACACTTGCTCCAGCAAGCAACTGACTTCTGAAAAAACACATTATGCACTAATTGAGGCTGATATTCTCAGACAAATGTCTTAAAGTTTCCCGTGTCTCAAGGCTTTTTACCACAGTAAGACAAATTTGATCCCGTGTATTTTATCTCGCTAATCAATGGTCAAGAACCAAGGCAAAAGTTTCATTTATTCCTGATATGATGTGATATATATATATATATGTATGTATGTGTATATATATATCTGATCTGCTAGCAGGAATTCAGTCTCATAACTCACGTTTTTTGCAGACTTTTGTATTACTTTGTTTTGCATAAAACTTCCTGCTGCTCTGATCTCAGTGTGTGCAATAGATAAGACAGATAATCTGAGCCATGTTTTGTAGATTACATTGGAATTTTAGCCTCTACAAATCAAAGGTGCCTGTTATTAAGGCATAGGGCCTCAGATAATTTTAAAAAAACTTACTGGAAGTGCCAGAAATGCTAAACTGAAACTGGTGAGACCCAGGAAGTAGCCTGACATGTTCATGTGTTCCTGAACCTTGCTATCAGATTTAATTACTGTGGATAAATTTAGCATTTAGTCCTTCTCTGTTGTTGAAACTCCTTGATGTAATCCATAAATTTTCTGTTCACAGTGTCTCCAAGCAGCTGTGGCTGGACAATCTGGAGATCCTCAAGTCTATCCCCTTGCTCAAAGCAGGGTCAAAGAAAACAAGCTGCTCAGGACTGTCCAGTTGGTGTGAGTAGCTTGAAGAACTGAGAAATCTGTAAAATTGCTGGGCACCCTGTTCCACTGCTTGTCCAGTTTCACAGTGGAATTCTCTTTCCTTATGTTGAGTTTATTGTACTTCAGCTCATGCCCATTGCTTCTCAACCTGCCACCAGGCACCACTGAGACAAGTCTGGCTCATTTTCCAAGAATCCTCAAGCAGGATTGACCTCATGAGCCCCTCCCAATGACAGTGTGTGATCACTCCACTGAGCACATGGTATTGTTTTTGCTCTTGTCAGGCAGTCAGGAGCAGTAGAGCTGTGAATGGCAATGTTCAGGCTTCCATTTCTTTATTAACATGTGAGTACAATCAGTTGTATTTACCATTGTCCTCCAGTTTGTTTGCTCTTCTCAGTAACAGCTTTAACAGCTTCTGATTCTGTTTCTGGACTCTGGCCTTTTGCCTTTCTTTCCTCAATTTGAGCCCTGTGAACCTTTGCAGGAAGAGCACTCTTTATTCCCCTTGTTCTAGACCCAAGCTGTGCTTTTATACTGAAGGAGGGTTGGAACACACCAACAAAACTATTGCAGTTTGGTTGTAGCTGGTCTGGTAGCCAAAATAAACAGAGAGATACAGCCTGAATGGGATGTAATAAAAGGAATATTAGACCAACAACTGGCCTGATCCCAGCTGACCTCTCTTTCTCCTCATCAGGTGAGCAGAAGCAGTAGAAATGCAATGAAATTACCCCAGCAGACAGGACTGTGGGCTGTCGTGCCCCCAAGTCATCTACAACTCCATTAAAACTTCACACAGACCAACCAAGGAAACAGCTCAACAGGACTTTTCATTTCACTCCATCCTTCTTTTCTTTTTTATAAACTGTGTGGTTGAAGGGATTGAAGGGAGTCCTGCTGGCAGATGCATCTGAGGACCATAGGTGTAGCTTGAGGGAAGACCTTGGCAGAGCTGAGCAAGCTCAACAGAGGCCTGCAGGTGAGGTGCACTTAGGGTATGTTACAAAAATTAGCAGGAATTTACTTTTGATTCTTGACTTAATCCTATTTATGATGTTTTATTATGTTTTGGGTTTTTTTGTGTGTGTGTGTGTACAAACAGCGGGGAAACAAACCTACAGTTTCAAATGGAGAAGTAAAATATAAACATTTATGAGACCAGTACTCTCTGCTGAAGAATTTATCAGAAAACCTGCTGTGAATTTGCTGCTTCATCATGTGATACCTTACAGTCTGCATAATCAAGCAATTACCTCTTAAGAATAAATTAAAAAATTGGGATTGTTGAGGCAAATATATATTCATATATATATATATATATATAGATATATATAGAGAGAGAGATTAGATAGATAGATAGATAGATAGATAGATAGATAGATAGATAGATAGATAGATACTTTCACCAGTTGAGATATATTCACCAGTCTGGATCCAAAGGTAACACATATATGCTGGGCCAGCACATAAAATTAAAGATAATTTATAATAAAGGAATATCTTGGTTTTGGCTGGCATAGAGTTACTTTTCTTCCTAGTAACACAAATTATCTAGGAAATGGAAACTTTACCACTCCTATGTAATCCTTCTGTAAAGATCAGGTAATCATAAAATATATTGCATAATAAATCAGACACAGCATGGGCCAGGCTGACCTTGGGAGCTCCAGGTTTCACTAGTGCAGAGTATAAAATCTAATGCTCCCTTCTACTGGGATCTCTTGACAGGATGGGTGCCACCAGGGACTTGCTGTGGTTATTCCTCCTAAATGCAGCTCTCCTGGATGTCGTCTCACCTAATCCACATAAAAAAGAGTCTTCCCAAAAAGGTAGGAAAAAGGGTGTCTTACTTTGCTGCTCTGGGTCTATACATGGCACTCACAGGCCAGTTTAATCAACCCATGGAAAGATTTGAAGACAGATTTAAATTAGATAGCATCAGGTTGTCTTATTAAAATTACAAACCAATCGATACCACAATTAAATATTATTTTTGTTGAAATGAATTTAGTGCAATGAAATGATCATATTTTGCAGTAGTGTCTTGCAGCTAAATTTGAACCAAATTTAAAAAGAAATCTGACAAGAAAGACTGAGAGGCCTTGCTCTTATAAATCAAAGGATTTCAATATGGAATTATAAGGGATTACAGTTTCTTTGGCTGTAATGCATATATGCTTTGCAGTACTTCAGATTCCACCTAGCATATGCACATGGAACCACTCAATACTTATTTAACTTTTTATAATTTAATGGCAGTGCAACAGAAAGTGACAGTTGCTGTGTTGTAAGGTGTCAGGAAGTCCCAGGTGTGTGCATTTTACTAACTTTGGACTTTCAGGCAGGTGGAGTAAAATCTCTAAACACTATCAGTATTTGAAAAAAAGCTACAACACCAAAACCATAACAAATTCATAAAAAGGTATAACTCTCACTCCTCTTTCACAGAAGATATCTGAAGTCTTATGTTCCTGCTAGGAATTACTTGTGACTTAGACACCTCTTTGTTCACTGTTTTTTGCAGCTATAAATAAGAGAAAAACACCCATTATATCCATGGGAATATTGGTGATAGAGTGTACATTGCTAATTTTGCCCACTGCTTTTCAAAAGACAATTGAAAATGCTTGAATTATAAAAAACAGAGAAATAAAAACTAATCCAAGGAAATCTGAATAAGAGACATTTGAAACAATGAAATCATGGAACAAATAAACCAAATGGCTCTGATATCTGTCTCACTGTATAAAGTCACTTTCTATATATCTGGGATATACCAAGTAAATTGTGTGTGCTTTTCAGATAAAAAAGGCTTCAGAAAGACACAGCACTTGTATAATGCTCTATCAGATCATTGGTCCTGACTAAGTGGGTCACCAATTTCTTTTTGTATTAAAATAATGAATACATTTATGCAAGTTTTCTTTGTTCTTGCTTTGGGGATTTTTATTGTTAATTTAATTTTACAGATAAACCTGTGTATATAAACAACTGAAAGTTCTGTGGTATCTCAAATTAGAAGCACAGATTTAAGGGAGTTCCAAACATATTCTGTATTGCTCGCACCCAGGCACCTCTTCCTGTAAACTTTGAGTATTTCATTTTATTAGGTTATCAGTGAGACTTTAATGCTTGGGTTATTGACCTTCCAGCAAATTCAGTCTATGCCTAGCAAATACGCATTAAGAATTATAACAAAAAAATTAAAATATTAGTCAAAAATCCAAATTATTCTCTTTAGTCTGGCCAAACATTAATCCAAACTTGCATGTATAAAAAACAGATTTGCTAATTGGTAGATTTACCTTCGGCTGTCTCTGTTTGCATCCTTTTATTAATTGAAAAGATAATTTTGTGAGGTTACCACACCCTTGTATGATATGACATTACCAATTATGTCTTATTTTGCAGACACCAGATCTTTGCCTTGCATCCCAGAAGATGCAGCTCTCCAGGGAAAGCATTCCTGATACAAATTTGTTTGTCAGATGTATTGTAAATTAAGTCACTGAAAGCAGCCATGTACAACAAGAATCCAAAAGTGATCGACTCATAGAGTCACAAAACTATGGAATTATTTGGGTTACAAGGCAATTTTAATAATCTGTTGGCTCATGCGTCCAAAAAGAAGCAGAGACAGTTTAAAACAGATGGTCAGGGCCATGTCTGACCTGGAAAGTGGCCAGTGAAGAGAAATCCACAACATCTCAGGGCGACCAAAAAAATTAGAACTCATAGGGAAAAAAAGTGTTTTGAATACAGGTCCAAAAATTCTTGGTTCCCTTATTGCTTCCACAAAAGATCAGCCTTGAGACTGATACATTGCTCTCCATCTCCAATTTGACAGGGTTGGACCAACATCTCCACCACGGGGAGGAACCTGATCATGATCCTCCATCCACCAGAGACTCACCTGCTTCATCTTCCGTCTCTGCATATGCCACAACCACTGATACATCCCTGTTAATGCCCTCCCTTCCTCCAGGTGGGTCTGAATCTCTCTGAAATTTTGAGGAACCAGTAGTACCTGCAGAGTTTGGGGGTCTCTTTTCTCCATGGGACAGCAGAGCCCAGGAAAAGTATATTATAACTGAAGCCAAGGGTGGCACTCCTGGTGGCTTGAAACTTGTAGAACTATGCCAAGGTCCCAGCAGGGAAAGGTGTCTGCTTGTGGTCTTTGCTGGCTGGAATTTGGTGCGTGTTGGCAGTGAGAGCAGGGCTATGTTTCTGGTTGATCCCACCATGAAAAACCACCCTGCTGACACCCCCAAGCTCTCCATCTCCCATGTGACAGGGTGGCAGCAACATGCCCAGAACAGAGAGAAACCTGGCCATCCTGCTTCATCCAACAGGGCCCTACTTGCTTCTTTCCTTTCCTCCCCTGCAGATGCCACCAATGCCACAACCAGCCTCACTGTCTCTGCTCTGTCAGGTGAATCTGAGTTTCTCCTGTGTTTTATGGCCACTGCTTTCTGCAGAAACATTTAGTGCCTCAGAGTTTGGGGTTTAGTCTTCTCCAAGGCAGAGCAGAGCCAGGGAAAAGCACAGCAGAACACAGCTGAAACTGGAAGTCGTGGTAGCTTGAAATTCATAGAGCATTGCCAAGGCCCTGGCAAGGGAAGGCACCTGCTTGTGGTTTTTGTTGGCTGGAATTTGGTGTATGTTGGATTATGTTTTTGGTTGATCCCACAATGAAAAACCACCATGCTGACACCCTCAAGCTCTCCATCTCCCATGTTACACTGTGGCACCAACATCCCCAGTCTTGGGACCAACCTGGTCATGTTCCTTCATCCACCAGGACTCACTTGCTGCTTCTTCTTTCTTCCCTACAGATGCCACAGCCAAAGATCCACCCAAGTTCAAGCTGGCCACTCCTTCAGGTGAGTCTGAATTTGTCCATGTTTTTCTGGTGACATCTCTTGGCTGAATAGTTAGTGGGGCAGAGGTTTGTGTTTAGTCTTCTCCCTGAGAGAGGAGAACCCAGGAAAAGCAGTTTAACACAGCCAAGGCTGGGAGATGTGGTGGCCTGAAATTCGTAGTCTGATGCCAAGACCCTGGAAAGAGAAAATGCCTTTGTGCTAAAATCTCTTTCCGAGTTTTCCATACTTTCTTCTTTCCCAGATGCCACCATCAGCCTGGTGAACGGCAGGAACCGCTGCGAGGGTCGCGTGGAGATTTCACACTCCGGGGGCCGGGGCACTGTCTGTGATGATGGCTGGGACCTGAGAGATGCCCAGGTGGTGTGCAGGCAGCTGGGATGTGGAGCTGCTGTTTCTGCACCATCAGGTGCCTCCTTTGGACGAGGCAGTGGCAGCATCTACCTGGACTATGTGAGCTGTGCGGGCTGGGAGTCATCCATCTTCCAGTGCAGCCACCGTGGCTGGGGCGTCCACAAGTGTGACCACAGTAAAGATGCTGGTGTTGTGTGCTCAGGTATGACTGCTTTGACTGCCTGCATGCTGGTTTCACTTTCAGGAAGTATCCCCTCTTGGTTGGAATTCAGTGTGTGTTGGGGATTATGTTTTTTGTTGGTCCCACCTTGAGAGACCATTCTGCTGGCACCCCCAGGCCCATGTACCAAGCTGGCAGCAATGTGCCCAGCACTGGGAGAAATGCAGTCATGGATCTTCATCCAGCAGGCCTCACCTGCCTCTTTCCTTTCCTCCCCTACAGCTGCCACAAGCACAACTACAGCCAGCCCCATCATCTCTGCTCCTTCAGGTGGGTCTGAGTTTCTCCTGCATTTTCTGGCTGCTGCTTTTTGCAGAATGAATTAGTGCCTCAGATTCTGGTGTCTGGTTTTCTCCCTGGGAGAGGAGATGCCAGGAAAAGCAATTTACTACAACCAAGACTGGGAAATTGTGGAGGCCTGAAACTCATAGAGTGATTCCAAGGTCCTGGCAAGAGAAAATGCCTTTGTGCTAAAATCTCTTTCCGAGTTTTCCATACTTTCTTCTTTCCCAGATGCCACCATCAGCCTGGTGAACGGCAGGAACCGCTGCGAGGGTCGCGTGGAGATTTCACACTCCGGGGGCCGGGGCACTGTCTGTGATGATGGCTGGGACCTGAGAGATGCCCAGGTGGTGTGCAGGCAGCTGGGATGTGGAGCTGCTGTTTCTGCACCATCAGGTGCCTCCTTTGGACGAGGCAGTGGCAGCATCTACCTGGACAATCTGAACTGCACAGGCTGGGAGTTGTCCCTCTTCCAGTGCAGCCACAATGGCTGGGGCAACCACACGTGTGACCACAGTAAAGATGCTGGTGTTGTGTGCTCAGGTACCACTGCTTTGACTTCTTGCATACTGTGACTTTTTCAGAAGGTGGTCTTAGTTGGAATTGTTGGGGATGAGTGCAGGGTCATGTTTTTGGTTGATCCCACCGTGAGAGACCATTCTGCTGGTACCCCCAGGCTCTCCATTGCCCATGTGCCAACCTGGCAGCAATGTGCCCAGCACTGGGAGAAAGCCAGGCATGAATCTTCATCCAGCAGGCCTCACCTGCCTCTTTCCTTTCCTCCTCTACAACTGCCACAAGCACAGGCACAACCATTCCCAGCACCACCTTCCCTGCTCCTACAGTGGGTCTGAATTTCTCCTGCATTTTCTGGCTGCTGCTTTTTGCAGAAATCATTCCTGCCTCAGAGTTAGGGGTCTGTTTTTTTCTCCCTGGGAGAGGAGAAGCCAGGAAAAGCAGTTTAACCCAGCCAAGACTGGAAGTTGTGGTGGTCTGAAAGTCACAGAGTGATTCCAAGGCCCTGATACCATCTTGGTTTTTATATTTTATCTTTTTTTGTTGTTGTTGTTTTGTTTTCCTTTATATATTCTCTCTATTCTTTAGACAGGTATTTATAGCTTTGTAGCTTCTTATTGTAACTTAGCTGTAGCATTTTCCTAGGCAGGAAGTCAAAACTCATTCCAGCATCCCTAAGCTATCTTGGTCCTTCCTGGCTAAAAAGGCCAAAAAAGGCTCTTCAGACACATTCACATTCAAACATTCTTCAGACAAAGTACAGTCCCATCTGAAGGCAGAGCAGACTTTGAAGGGACTTGGACGGGGGGGGGAATTTCATCACCACTTGTGGATATTTGTGGCTTTTGTAGATATTTTTCCATATCTTCCCTGGAGGACTCCAATAATGACCCACTTTTATTTTACTTCCTATATGAAAGTTATCCCCAAAAGCTGTGTTGTTTCATTTCTAGGTTGACAAAGACATCACCCTGGCAAAAAGAAGTGCCTTTGTGGTAGAGGCTCTTCCTGAGTTTTCTGTATCTCCTTCTTTCCCAGATGCCTCCACCATCAGCCTGGTGAACGGCAGGAACCGCTGCGAGGGTCGCGTGGAGATTTCACACTCCGGGGGCCGGGGCACTGTCTGTGATGATGGCTGGGACCTGAGAGATGCCCAGGTGGTGTGCAGGCAGCTGGGATGTGGAGCTGCTGTTTCTGCACCATCAGGTGCCTCCTTTGGACGAGGCAGTGGCAGCATCTACCTGGACGATGTGAACTGCACAGGGTCGGAATCGTCCCTCTTGAAGTGCGGCCACAATGGCTGGGGCATCCACAAGTGTGGCCACAGTGAAGATGCTGGTGTTGTGTGCTCAGGTACCACTGCTTTGACTTCTTGCATACTGTGACTTTTTCAGAAGGTGGTCTTAGTTGGAATTGTTGGGGATGAGTGCAGGGTCATGTTTTTGGTTGATCCCACCATGAGAGACCATTCTGCTGGCACCCCCAGGCCCATGTACCAAGCTGGCAGCAATGTGCCCAGCACTGGGAGAAATGCAGTCATGGATCTTCATCCAGCAGGCCTCACCTGCCTCTTTCCTTTCCTCCCCTACAGCTGCCACAAGCACAACTACAGCCAGCCCCATCATCTCTGCTCCTTCAGGTGGGTCTGAGTTTCTCCTGCATTTTCTGGCTGCCGCTTTTTGCAGAAACAATTAGTGCCTCAGAGGTTGGGGTTTGATCTTTCCCAAGGGAGAGCAGAGACTGGCAAAAGCACAGCAGAATGCAGATGAAACTGAGAGTCATGGGACCCTAAAATTCATAGAGCATTGTCAAGGCCCTCTTGAGGGAAGATTCTTGCTTGTGGTCTGCTCTGACTGGACTTTAAATGTACGCTTGGGATGACTGCAGAATGTTATTTTTAGTTGATGCACCACGGGAGAGCATTCTTCTGAGACCCCCAGGATTTCCATTGCCCATTGTTGGGGTGGCACCAACATTCCCAGGGGTGGTAGAAAACCTTGCCATGCTCTCTCATCCTCCAGCACCTCACCTGCTTCCTTTTATTTGCCTCATACAGCTGCCACAAATCCTGCCCCTGTCACAAATGCTCCAGGTTTGTATTTTACTTGTTTTTCCCATTTCTCCAATCCATTACTCTTGAAGTGTCATAATTACTGTTTTGCAGGTGTGAGCTGTTTCATTTGCATAGTATAATACATTGGGAAAAATCCTTTCTGATTTTAATTCTTTATATACTATTCATTATTCTTTTGTGCTTGAGTGATTCTATAGCTGGGGGTGGCTTTCAGAGTTTGCTGATTACATGGGAGATTTTCTTTTGTTCATTCTCTGATTTTATGGTATTTAGGCCACCATTTTTTCTTTATTTCATACCCATGTGCCTGAAGCCCACAGAGTTAATAACTGCAAGTGTGGGTCATAATTCTCTGAAGAGTTCATCACTCTTGCAGCTAACTGAGAGGAGCACAATCATATGGTTTTTTTGAGATTTAACCTTGTGATACCATGATTTCTGTATATAGAACATATTTTTGTGTGATCTGAAGGAAATCTAAATTAATCACTTCTTTCCCTTGGTTTCTTTTTTTTTTTATTTCCTTTCCTTTTTCAGGTCAAAACTTTATTTGTGGTGATATACTTTTTAAGACCTCTGGAACATTTCAGAGTCCTTCTTTGAATCCTTCCGATAAAGCAGATTGTTTGTGGCAAATACATGTAACAAACAATTTCCTCATTGCGCTCACTTTTGATAACATTCAGTAAGTAAACCACTTTCTGCTTGGGCAATAAAACAATTCCAAATCTCAACTGCATCCACAGTTCCTGGGCACATTTCCCATCCTATAAGTGAATACTAAATATACATGGGAAATGTGTGAGTGCAGAATCCTATTGTATTGTTTGTTCAGCATTTAAACCCCAAAGTTCAGCTAATGCATTTTTTAAATATATTCTCATTTCTTCCTCAGGTTGCAAGGTGGATGCCAGAATGACTATATTGAGATCTATGATGGGCCACCCAAGTCTTCTCCTCTGCTTGGAAGAATTTGTTCTAGTTCTCATCTCACATACACCTCAACTTCAAATTTCATGTCTGTGAGGTTTTACAGCGACTCCAGATATTCCAGTGGAAGTTTTAGGGCTCAGTATCAGTCCTTTCCAGCCGACCAGAACACCAGTAAATTTCCATTCTATTCGTAATTATGTTCTCTTGGTAAAGTTTTCTTTGCTCAGAAGCTTTTATACACTGGGGGTTTTTTTGCTAAATAAGCATTTGTTAATATTGTTGAAGGAATCCCACATAGATGATATTCCTATTCGGATTTTGTGACTGATTATTGACTGCTCACTTTCAGAAAAGAACTACTTTTTCTCCTTTAAAGATATCCAATTTATTTACCTTTAGATATTTTCTGTGTTATTTTCTAAACTCATATTCTTTGTACCACATCATAATTCATATATATTTTTGTACCTTTCTGGACAAACTTTCACAGAGTCATAGAAATGTTGGTTAGAAGGGACTTTTGGAGGTTTCCTAGGCCAACTCTTCAAAACAGAGCTACTGCCAACACCAGGTCAGATCCATTAAGAACTGGTCTGGCTGTGTGTCTAGAAATATTCAAAGGATTAAATATTTGAAGCTACTACTTTGTATGACCCATTCCAGTACTGTCCTATTGCTTACTCATATCTAAGTCTCAAGTGTAAAAATAAGTGGTTTTGCATATGAATTATCTTCTCTAAATAGTAGCAGTGATTGCATTTGTTGGACTTGCAATATGGAAGCATTATCAAGTATCCAAAATCACTAACAATTAATATTTTTTTCCCCTAGCCCTTCTGTGCTTGCCAACCTACATGTATGCAGTGGTAGACAGACACTATCTCCAGTCCCAGGGCTACTCAGTGGACAGCATCAGCCTGGCAGACCCTCAGTGTGTACCACAAATTACTTCAGCTGAGGTTATATTCAACATTTCATACAGCAGCTGTGGTACACATAGACAGGTTGGTGTCAAGACATTGGGGAGAGCTCGGGGCATGGGAATTCATAGACATTTGGAAAATTGTCATAGATTGCAAAGGGTGTTGTAGGCCAAGGCATGCAAAACACAGAAAATGAGCCTGTGTTTCTGGTGGCTGAATTTGGTTAAATATTTTTACTTATCCTTCCCAGAGTACTTATATCCTTCCCTGTACCTATTTCAGAATGATGTTCTAGAGAACAAAAACAGAGGGGAGAGTTAAGTGAGCAATCCTATCCTGGATGCTTGGGATTTTTCAGTGTGACAGGTCCTTCCTGACTGCAGCAACTGGCACATACAGAAGTTTGTAATCCTCACAGTATTTACAGTGAACACGGTAATTAATGTGGTAATTTAACACTCATTTAATGTGTCAAACAGGGCAACAACGAAACAATCACCTACTCCAACGTGATAAAAGTGCCTGCTCCTGGCAAAGTCATCAAGAGGCAAAAGGACCTTCACCTGCACATCAGCTGCAAAATGCTGCAGAACACCTGGGTTCAGGTCATGTACATTGCTGATGACATCATCGATGTCAACAAAACCCAGTATGGCAGATACGACGTGAGCCTGATGTTCTACAACTCCTCATCATTCCAGTGGGCAGTCCATGACTTCCCATACTATGTTGACCTGAATCAGAATTTGTACCTGGAAGCTTCTCTTCACAGCTCTGACCGAAATCTGACCGTGTTTGTGGACACCTGCGTGGCATCGCCTAATTCTAGTGATTTTAGAACACTGGTCTATGAGTTGACCAAAAGTGGGTAAGAACTTTGTACAAAATTACTTTAAAAGTGTCTCTATGTGTTGTTCTAAAAGCACTTAATTTGTGAAATGAGGTGATTTAGGACCAGTGTACATTGGCTGTAATTCTTGGGGCAAATGTAAGAACTGGTCTGGCTGTGTGTCTAGAAATATTCAAAGGATTAAATATTTGAAGCTACTACTTTGTATGACCCGTTCCAGTACTGTCCTATTGCTTACTCATATCTAAGTCTCAAGTGTAAAAATAAGTGGTTTTGCATATGAATTATCTTCTCTAAATAGTAGCAGTGATTGCATTTGTTGGACTTGCAATATGGAAGCATTATCAAGTATCCAAAATCACTAACAATTAATATTTTTTTCCCCTAGCCCTTCTGTGCTTGCCAACCTACATGTATGCAGTGGTAGACAGACACTATCTCCAGTCCCAGGGCTACTCAGTGGACAGCATCAGCCTGGCAGACCCTCAGTGTGTACCACAAATTACTTCAGCTGAGGTTATATTCAACATTTCATACAGCAGCTGTGGTACACATAGACAGGTTGGTGTCAAGACATTGGGGAGAGCTCGGGGCATGGGAATTTCATAGACAGTTGGAAAATTGTCATAGATAGAAAAGGGTGTTGTAGGCCAAGGCATGCAAAACACAGAAAATGAGCCTGTGTTTCTGGTGGCTGAATTTGGTTAAATATTTTTACTTATCCTTCCCAGAGTACTTATATCCTTCCCTGTACCTATTTCAGAATGATGTTCTAGAGAACAAAAACAGAGGGGAGAGTTAAGTGAGCAATCCTATCCTGGATGCTTGGGATTTTTCAGTGTGACAGGTCCTTCCTGACTGCAGCAACTGGCACATACAGAAGTTTGTAATCCTCACAGTATTTACAGTGAACACGGTAATTAATGTGGTAATTTAACACTCATTTAATGTGTCAAACAGGGCAACAACGAAACAATCACCTACTCCAACGTGATAAAAGTGCCTGCTCCTGGCAAAGTCATCAAGAGGCAAAAGGACCTTCACCTGCACATCAGCTGCAAAATGCTGCAGAACACCTGGGTTCAGGTCATGTACATTGCTGATGACATCATCGATGTCAACAAAACCCAGTATGGCAGATACGACGTGAGCCTGATGTTCTACAACTCCTCATCATTCCAGTGGGCAGTCCATGACTTCCCATACTATGTTGACCTGAATCAGAATTTGTACCTGGAAGCTTCTCTTCACAGCTCTGACCGAAATCTGACCGTGTTTGTGGACACCTGCGTGGCATCGCCTAATTCTAGTGATTTTAGAACACTGGTCTATGAGTTGACCAAAAGTGGGTAAGAACTTTGTACAAAATTACTTTAAAAGTGTCTCTATGTGTTGTTCTAAAAGCACTTAATTTGTGAAATGAGGTGATTTAGGACCAGTGTACATTGGCTGTAATTCTTGGGGCAAATGTTCTTCTAAGAACAACTTTTTGGCAAAGGCTGAGTAAAATTCAGAATGACAACCAAATGTCATTTAGAAGTTGCCGTCAAACACTGAGATTTCACTCAAGGAGGCAGTGAGGAAATTGAGGTCTGACTTTGTTTTTGAAATAGATGTATGAAAAGGAGGGATGTCCACAGCTCTACATTTCTGTACATCATGAGTTTCACAGCATCGTAACTGGAGTACAAAACTGTCTCCTCAAAAAGAAGAGAAATTCCTTAGCCTTCTCTTACTATTCTAGAAACCTGAACCACTTAGCCTAATTTTATACCAAAGTACATTGAAGCACTAAAGAGAAGTGTATTAAAATTAGTTTTATGCTTCCAGAGAAGAAAGAAGAACTTTCTCTTTCTGCAACAACTTTCAAGGGCCTCTTTTCAAACAGTCAATCCTCTTTGAAAATGCATAACAGGCTCTCACCTGAAACACAGAAACCAGCAGAACCACTAGCCATTTTTCAGCTATTCATGTTTACACAGAACTTGTTAAGCTATGAAATTTCTGCGCTGTGCACATTTAGTAATTTCTCTTCTTTCTAAAAGCATATGGTTTTTCTAAGGCTTTTGATTTCTCTTTCACTTCCTGGTTTTATATTCGACCTTAACCTTATTGCAAAGTGCAATAGTGCTTCTGCTCATGAGAAGCTGTGGGTTAATGGCTAATCTGTTGATGTCGTGTCCCTGCAGGTGTGCTAGTGATCCTAGCTACGCTCTCTTCCCCTCGCCACGCGGCGATGTCGCTCGGTTCGGGTTTAGCGCCTTCTCCTTCGTGAACCGCTTCCCGTCAGTGTTCCTGCGCTGCGAGCTGCTGGTGTGCAGGCACCACGACTACTCCTCCCGCTGCTACCAAGGCTGTGTGAGCAGGTTCAAGAGGAATGCAGATTCTTCCCACGAGCAAGTGAATGTTGTTGTTGGACCCGTGCAGCTTCGGGAAGCTCACGCTGAGAGCAGGAACATTGGTGAGTTTAAATATTTTTAATAACGTAAGACTCTGTGTGTTACTGTCTGTTTGCATTTCAGTTCTTACAGGAAATCCAGCTCTGAAATGTGCTTTTGCTGGTTTATTTACAATTTGGCTATAATTCTTATGGGGGATTATTATTTTATATATATATAAAATACTTCTATTTGATTTACAAGCTCTTTCCTTTCTATCATAGTTTATATCCATTCTCTGTTCTGCACATATCGAGTGGTAATTGAGTAAGTTCTATGGGAAGAGGGATGAGATCTGATTTATATCAATTTTCCAAAGCTGCCTGTGCCTAATTTGCATGTCTATTATTTATTTACAATCAATCTCTAGGTCCTTTTGGAAATGCTGTTTCTCAGTGTCCTGTAGCTGCTGTTTCCAGTACCAGAAAGCAACATCTTAAGGTCATTGAGTGTGATCATTACAGACTCCCAGTTTCTCTTTAATTTCTTGCCACAATCTTTACTTGTTTTGCATGGCCACAAAATAATTTGTGAAATAAAGTGCAGTTTTCTGATCAGATCCTGATTTGAGATTTTTAACTCAAATTCTCTTTGCCTAATTGTCTTTGCAATTAACTAGCTCAGGGGAAAAAAACCAAAACAGTAAGTTTCTCTCTGACTCTTTTATGCGCAGGGCTGGCCTCTGACATCCAAAAGGCAAAAGGGGGGACTCTGAGCTCAGAGCCTGCTGGCAGCTCCCACCTTCCTCTGGCTGTGACCACCGTGGTGCTGGTAGCTGCTCTTCTCACAGCAGGAGGATTTCTCTGGAAGAGGAAACTGCAGGAGGACATCCCATACCAGAAACTGTGAGAGGCAGCTCCAGGCATGGAGGTGGAAGGACACTTTCACCAGCCACCTGCTTCATTATTTGGATTTGCAATCAGCGTGAAGGGCAGCTCTTACTTGGCTATTCCACCATCCAGACCATGTTTGAAGAATCAAGATCACACCTGATGTTACCATGAACTGAATTTATAAAGCAACCTGATTTTAAAACTTAAGGTGTAAAGAAGGATTGATTCTTTCATCCCAGCATCCAAATAAGTATCTTCAGTGCTGGACATTTCAGAGCTTTTCTGTTGAACTCCTCATTCAGTGTCTGTCTGAGACGACTGAAATAGGTGACTTGAGAAACAAGAACTGATTTATTTGTCCCTTGCTGATATACAGATGAAACACCTATGTAGCACCATAGACACACTGGGAAGTAGTACAAGAAAAATGTTTCTTTGCAGTAAAAAATCTCAATAATGAGCCATAAGCAAATATGCTCAGCAGCTGCACATGAAGAATTATTCCTGTACAGTGTTCCTGACTTTGGGAGATTGATTCTTCCCAAATCCATATTTTCCTGAGTAAATGTAGGCCACTTATATGATTTTGTATGGAGAATTAATATAATCCCATTACATAAATGTGTAATTAAAAACAACAGGAAAGAAAATGTTTTTTTGAGCAATACTTTTTTTTTGTGTGTACTTGCAAACATCCTGCTTGTATGTGTGAACTCATGGCTAACACACTGCCAGGTTGGAGAACGTGGCTTCTGACAAAGTGACTTTGCCAAGCAACGATTCCTGCTCTTGCTCTCACACATTTCTACACCTGGAATGGGTGGGAAGGAGAGAATGTAGGTAAGTTCCCATAAGGAAGTGTGACCTCTCTCCTATCCCCATTCAAAAACAAAATAAAAAACAATTAAAAAGGAAGAATTTCATTGGAAGAAGCTACTTAATGCAGGTGGAAAGGTCACTGGTATTGATTGAGAAATGCCCTTCTTGAGACGTTCCTGTTCTCCAGCCAGCTGTGAAAGAGGCAAGTTCATTTGGAACTGAGCAGTGTCAGATGTGCAAGGTGAGCCAAAGTGGTGACGTGTGAGGAAGGTGAGCTGTACTCTTGGGTGACATCCTGACCTGACAAGGAGGATGAGGGCAGTTCTGACAGGAACCAGCCCCACAGCCTGCACCACTTGTTCCTTTGAGCTGCCTTCTCCTCCTGGTCCCAGGCAGGGCTCTCATCACCTCTCCATGATGTAAAGGGATCACACAGGTAGGGGCTGGCACTGCACACACAAAGTGAGAGGGTTTTTCCACACTTGAAGAACAAGGAGTTCGTGTTCTCCTCCCCCCTGTGCCTGCAGCCACCTTTGGAAGGCAGAGCACCTCAGAAGGCTGACCTGCCTTCACCTGTTCTCTGTAGAGATTGTCCAGGCTCAGAGGAATCCAGCCATCTGCTCAGCACAGCAAGGACTCCCCTGGACCTGGGCTTTCCTAACTCTGTAGAACAGGACCTTCCCCTCTCTCTTCCCAGACTTGCTGTATTTTCCTTCTTCCTGCTGCTGTAGTGTTGCTACCACACTACCTTGCAAGATACAGCTTGATGTCACTTTTTTCCATTTCTCCTATTCTCTCAGCATTATTTTCACCAGACAAACAGAAAGACCTCAGGCCTAGATCCTGGTGTCTCCAATCCTCAGCAGCCCTGTGCTGTTCAGAGCTGAGTTTTCCCATAGCCTGTCTGGGCCAGGGCTCCCAGATGGAGAAATACCAAGGCTGGATAAAAATACAAGGTAGAATTGCCAAGTTCACTGGTTTCCATATTAAATATTGCTGCAGAAAGCATTGCCAAATTGTTTATGTGGTAAATGTCTCAGACTCCTCCTCATTTCTCGTTATCTCCCTTGATCCACAAGCATTAGAGAAATGCAGAATTAAAGAAAACTGGGTCTGATGTGGAGGAAAGGGTCATGTGCCTGGTGAATAATCTCTCTGCCACAAACCCTCCTGCCTGGATTCAGACTATCATTCCTTGTGGAAAAGGCTGTGGATATCCTTATTCCATTGTAGACACTTTCCTATAATCATGGGTGACAGCTGATTAATCTTGTTTGTCCTTTCACTGGTTCTGTTTTTTAAAAACCTTTAAAAACTCTGTATTTTTGCAAAGTGCCCTCACAATTGTCAGCAGAAGAAAGGGTATTTTCAGGGCTTAGTGTAGCTTCATTCAGAGTGATGTGCTGGGAAATACCTCAAGCTGCCAGAAGAAGACTTTGAGAACAAAAATGTGTTACTGCAAGAGATTTATCTAGTCAGTGGGAAGGGTGAAATACCGTATGGTATTTGCACTAAGGTTAATTAAAACAAAATATTTATCTATTTCCATCATGCAGAGATTGTCTTATAATAAAAATCTCTAGAAATATCTAGATTTTTGAAATGCGTAATTTATTTATGAAGAAGATAGTGAAGAACTAATCAATCAATCAGTCAAATAATCAATCTTGATCTTTTACCTGGGCAGCTTAAGACTTTTTTTTTTACATTTGAACCATCTGGGAATCCCTTTTGTGTTCCCCTTCCTCCTCACCCTTTTTCAGTTATTACAAGGGTTTGGAGAAGAACTGTGATCCATCACTCACTCTTGCTTCACTGATTGCAGTGTTTGATTGGCCAGTCAAATAAACTGGATTTTTCATTCTTGTCAGGGTGTCAAAACCAGAATATGAATAGTGAATACCAGGTGTTGTGTACATATCCTCATTCATGTGCAAATATGGTTGTTTGGATAAAGAAGAAACATATTTACCATTCTGAATGTTCACTTTCAAGGCTTCCAAAGTTATCTTTGGCCTCTTGTATTTTTCACTTCCTTCTTCCATTCCAATCATATTGGCCGTTGTGGAAAGATGTTTTAGATCATTCTCTTTTCCCCTCAGGCTTTGGTCTTCCTGCTTGATGGCTGTCCCTGGAGGCAATAAATTCATATGTGGCAACAGTTTTAACTGGTGATGATTCCATCCAAGACATGATGGCTGTGGAGGTAGGGATGAGATGGAGAACAATGTTCTGACTCTTCAGTGTTCAGATGATCACCAGAGTTTTTTGTTAAGTTGTTAGAAACACAGAAAGAGAGGAAAGTAACCACTCTGGCAAGAGAGTGATGAATGAGAATTAAGCATTATTTCATATTGTGGACAAAGCTTGGATTCATTCTTCAAAGAATGATACAGCTGTTATTGTCACTATGTAAAATTAAACAAGGAATATATTAAGACGTTTTCTGAATCTGAAGAAATCAGGGCTTTTTCCCCCAATTTTTTGGTTCAAAGGATCAAATGAAATTTTAGAACAAAATTAGGTTCAATCTATGTAATTTCCTTCACTATGCATGAAATCCACTTATTTTTTTCCACAGTGTTTGCACAAAAAGTTATCAGTTGACCATGGTTCTCTGACATTTCCTTGCAATCTGTCTGTCAGTGAATTTTGACTGGAATTTCGGCTTGTACTTAAATGTGCCCCAAAAGAATTAGTTTGTACTGGGGCTGGGGCTATTGACTTCAGCTGCAAGGTTCTTCAGAGACCCCCCCAGTCGTACTTAAACAGGGCCACCAGGTCTGATCTTGTTTTATTTAAAGTCTGCTGAAGGTTTAGGACATTTATGGCTCCCCAGGAAGACCTGCCACATTAGTTGGCAAGGGTCTCTTTCTATTTTGCTGGAAGAAGCCCATTTAAGTTTCAAGATTCCACTACCATTCCAATACCTGACCAGGAACCTCCTCATGAAAGAAAAATGCTGAGATGCATCAGCCAGAATTGAAATGTATCTTTGGACAGGAGCTCTCTTTTTTTTGGTACAATGAGATGATTGTGAAACCTATGGTAGCATAAATAGTTCCTTCCAGGCAATGGAAAATGTTACTATTGAGATATTGTCTTTTTGCAAAACCCAGGAAGTTACCAAATATTAAATAACAAATCAAACATATGTTTGTTTCAGATTAGAGGGCTGTGGTTGTTTTATTGTTCTGCTGAAGAAAGAGACCTGGAGAGCCACTCCCCTTCAGAAACAGAGACTATATATTGTGAGGTCCTCTTTACCAACAACACCTGGTGAGATGGGTACCACCACGATTTTGGCATGCCTTCTCTTGTTGGGTCCATCAGTTCTGGAGGCCAAAACAGGTAAAAGACTTAGAGTTGTTCCAGGGCACATAAAAAAAAAATTATAAAGACTGCTTGGAGTCCTCTCTGTTGATTCCAAGAGCAGACATTAAATTCAGACTGGTATTGGTTTGGGCAAAATATTGGAAATTGGATGAAAGAGCAGAGTTTTGTTCTACTGAAATTATGAAGTAATCATCAGAGTGGATCATAAAAATCATTTGAACCATTTTGTAGAGTTGATTTTGCTGCCACAGGGTCCTACTCATCTTAGTTACTTGTATCACTGCAAGAATTGTGTCTGTGAGTATGTCATGAATGAGGTATTCTTCCAGTTCTAAAAATCTGATCTAAAAATCATGGAAATATTTATTTCTGTACTTATTTTCCATGCGTATTTGATTCCAGAGTATACAAGTGCACACATATGCTATATATTTAATACTGCTTGCATTATTTGGTTCTTCAGGTATAATGTACAAATTAACAAAATATAACATTAAGTTAGGTTTTCACACTCTAGCACTGTGGTTAAATGATGGACATCTAAAAATTATGAGAGATTAAATACTTTCAGTTCAACTTTTTTTATGATCACAGAATTTTTCCTTCCACGATTACTTTCTGTCTCCTGAGTGGTTTGGGTGACTTTGAATTAATAGTTCTGTGTATATCTTATAATAATTTCTCATGACTTTTCTAATGAGTTATTTAAGCTTTGTGATGATAATTTATACTGCCACCATTCACCTCATCAATTCTCTCCACTTGTCTCCTGCTTTTCTGGTGATAACTCATCTCACTCTGGCTGCTCTGGTTGTTCTCTCTGCTCTCTGTCTCTGTGTCCCAGAGCAAAGTATTTGCTGTATTTGTATAATCACAGGCTTTTGTCTTTTTGATACCTTTGAAGTGTGAGGAAGGATTCATCCTATCTAATTTCATCCCCAGCTGATGGTTATGCTCTCACAGTGATGGCAGGCCTTGAATGACAGCAAATAAAACTGGCTTAGGTCGGCTTGCATTTCCTAATCCCATTCTGACTTTTTGCCAGGTTTGCTATTTAATTTCTCAAAAACCCTGTGAGTAGGGTTCAAAAATGTGTGTTCAAGTGGATATTTGAAGGAACAAGTCAGATATAAGTCAAGGGGCACTTTTATAGTTTTGCCCTTTGAAAATCATACAAATCAAGGCAAATTTAGTTTGGTCACCATCTTGACTGTACTTCTGGATCGATAGCAAAGAATTAGGAGCAATGAAGAAATCCTGGAGGTGTTAACTTTAGAAATTTGTTTTGCTTTGGATGACTTAGTGTTTAATAATAAGGTAAATATATACTTGGCAGCAATGTAAAATATAACAAGTGCAGCTGCCTGTTTTGATTTCCAGAGTGTAAATACTGCAAATCCAAAGTTACAACATTTATTTGCTTGCTTACACTTGGTAGTAAAGCCTTTAATAAACTTATGCATCAAAAATGGATCTCTAAAATCAGGATTTTTATGCTGGTCACACGACAATGTCTAAAAAAGATATAAAAACTGAAAAGGAGATGGGCTTTACCTGAACGAATGCAGTAATCAGCTGTATACAGGATAGGTTATTTCTTTATTTCAAACTGTAATAACATTTTTCTGGTACATTAGAAACAAAGCCACTGAACTCCTATTAAAATCTTTATAATCCTGTTGAGCCCATCCTCCATTCTGTAGAACATTTGGTGGAATTCTTCCACTAAAGTTACTCTTATAAGCTATAGGATTTGGTGACATGTGGACTCTTGGTCCTTAAATTTGTCCCAAAAATTTCTTTTTTTGTTTAAACCGCTTGTGCTTAGCCTGCTGCCTAACTTTACTGCAGGGATCTTGCAGAAAACACAGGTGGTTGATTTTGAGAACAGGAAGAGAGGAATAAAAAGGTACAAATCACCTCTGCCCTCACAGGCACTTAATAATGGGCTGGGCAACACCTTCTAGGGACGATAAGGGAAGAAGGCAGCATAGATGCTCCTTCCAGTCCCTTCCAGCCTGTTTCCCTGACTGTTTTGTGCCCATGCCCTCTCTCCCAAAGCTCCCTACGTCCACCTGGTGAACGGAAGGCACCGATGTGAAGGTCGTGTTGAGGTCTACTACCGAGGACAGTCGGGGACGGTTTGTGATGACTACTGGGACCTCGCGGACGCCCAGGTGGTGTGCAGGCAGCTGGGGTGTGGCAGGGCCATTGCAGCTCTAGGAAGTGCCTACTTTGGGCAAGGCTCAGGGGACATTGTGCTGGACAACGTGAGGTGCAGTGGAAATGAGGTGTCCTTGCTGCGCTGCAATCACACGGGGTGGAGGATCCACAACTGTGCCCACTATGAAGACGCTTCTGTTGTCTGTTCAGGTACTCCCACTTTTCTTTTCCCCCCTAGTCTTGTTCTTTCACTCCACTGGCCCTGCAGAACCAGCATGGACTCGTGTTTTTCTCGTTATGTAAAAAGCTCACTTGCTCATCCATGCAAAACAATAAAAAACCCCAAGGATCAGATATACATTGCTGATATGCAGGACAATTATTCCATCTAATCACCTGGCAGTGGCAATAAGGAAACAATTCAAAATTAGAGGTAAAGCTATATCTGATAGGCAAAGTTTATCAGGGAGGAATGGGGTTAGGTGAATTCTTAATGGACTTGTTATGGGCAATAATAATTTCACAATCACAGCTCAGATTGTCATAGCTCACAATTCACTTTGGATTGTTTCCATATTTTTCAAGTCTTCCTTCATTCAGGTCCATTAATGTCTTTTTTCCTTTGCAAATATCCATCCATTTGGACTACTCTTTCACTTTGCTGTGTTCATTTTACTTTCACATTATTTTTAGGAGAATGTGGGTTGTTTGTATCTTATTTTCTGATGTATTAGCAACTCATCATCATGAACTGAGACAAGGCTGATGACATCAGACTGTTCAGGTGTTTTGCATCTGTATTGCAGTGTTCCATGTTTCCTTAGAGACTAAGAGCCTGGAGAGCTGAATCCATGCTGGAAAGCAGTGCTAACTACACCAGTGTTTTTCACTTAGAAGAAAAGAATAAAAATTGCTACCAGACCTGTATTAATCTATGTGTGACGTGTTAGAGCCTTTTTAAATGCCATTTATTTCTTGCCTGCATTCATAGCTCCAGTGCCTTCTACGGGCTGGGTGTATCCAACAGATGATTCAGCTTGGCCCACTCCTGCCCTTGCACCAAGCACCATCCCAAGACCACTGCCCAAACTGCTCCTGGGGATGTCCTGATCCTCTGCAGAAGGGCATTCACAGTGGGGACAGGTCCAAGCCCTGCTGCTGCCAGCAGCCCCACAGCTCCCCCATCCCCAGGAGCCTGTGGAGTCCCAGGCTGTGCCTGGGTAGTGGAGTCCTGGGGCTGGGAGCAGATGCCACCCCCGAACCTTACCCAGCTTGCCATCTGTAAATACCACCTCCAAGACAAATTTTAAATTGGCTGTTACCCACCTCTATTCTCTCCATTGACTCCAGATAAGAAAGACTATCCCATCAGAGTAATTGCTCTTGATTTCACTTCATCCTTGAGGATCTGTGCTTGTAGCTACCGCACAGACATATCCATTGCACAGTGCTCATGTGTGGAGTGGTTTTCTTCTTTTTTTTCACAGAAGAGTCTGATTCAAAACAAGCAGAGCCAACATCAACCTATACAGCATATTCAGCACTGGAGACAACATCCCCAGAAGAGACAACACCCATAGAACCAATGAGGTCTCTAAGAGAGACATCAATGTCAGCATCAACAGTCTTCACAGAGGAGACGACGTCCCCTGGGGAGACGGCCACCACCGTGCCAATGACAAGCCTAGAGGTCACATCCAACCCATGGCAAATGACCTCCCCAGAAGAGATGTCTGCTCTACCAGAGTCCTCTGCCCTACCGCTGTTGCACACCACAGTAGAGGAGAGCACAACAGGTAACCCTGCCCACTGTCACTCACTGTTCTCTTTAGTGCCCCTGGTCTTCCTTCCCTGACCTGACTGCACTGCAGGGAGACTCCCAAAATGACAGGAGAGAGTTCCATGCTCCCTTCCCCCATTATTTGCCCAGCTCTGCTTTTCATGCCCATTCCTATGTCCATTGCCATTGCACTAATGACCTCTTTAGCAGGAATGCCCAGCCCAACACACCCGACCAGTGCAGCACTACCCACCAGCACACCAGAGATGTCCACCTCAGCAGAGACGACCACCACAGCAGGATCCAGTGCCACACCAGAGGTGTCCACCTCAACAGTGATGTCCACCTCAGCAGAGATGATAACCTCACCATTGTTGAGCACCTCAGAGAAAACAGCTATGAGAGAAGAGGAGAGCACACCAGGTAACCCTGTCATTTCTAACTGATTGGTCTCCTTATTGCTCCTGATCTCTTTACTGAGTGGCCCTAACCCCTGGCACATGTCCCACTGGTGGATTTTGGTGCCCTCCCTTGGAAGCAGCCATGCTGACCTCTCTTGGAAGATGTGGGGCAAAGCAGCAACCTTGGTACCTTGGTGCTTTCTGTCGCTTGGTGAGCTGAGCATGTGCCAAGAAAAGCCCTGTTTGCACAGAGAGAGCACAGCAGACACTCCTGGCCTGCAGGAATAGGGTTTCAGAGAGGTGGCAAAGAGCAGGACAGAGAGGGGACAGAGCTGGGAGGTTGGGGAAAGATTCAGGGCACTTTGGGCTGGTGTCTCTATGGGAAATGACTGGACAAAGCTTCACCCTCTCTACCGGCATTAATCATCCATCCTTGCCTATCACACCAAATGCTGTGGCCACTGTAAGAATTACCTCCCTAGCAGGGATGCCCATGATAGAGCAGAAGATAGAGGAAACAGACTTCATAGCAGAGACGACCACCTCAGCAGAGACGACAACGACCTCAGTAGAGACAACCACCTTAGCAGAGATGACCACAACCTCAGCAGCCATACCCACCTCAGCAGAGCCGACCACCTCAGCAGAGACGACCAACTCAGCAGAGACAACCACGCCAGCACAGACAAGCATCTCAGAAGAGGTGACTACTTCAGCATGGATTGCAAGAGCGGAAAGCAGTCCACCAGGTAACCCTGTCCACTCTCACTCACTGTTCAGTGTGTGAAACAGCAAAACCAGGATGGTGATTTGGGATGAGTGAAAGAACTCTGCAGGATGTCGTAGGAATCACAGGACAGGGGCACCTAGAAAATGCACTACACTTATCTGCATGACTTGTGCTTGGACACGGCGCACTTTGGCCCAGGCTCCGGCCGCATCTTCCTGGACGACATGCAGTGCCGCGGGGACGAGCCCTCCCTCCAGATGTGCCGGCACAGCGGCTAGCCTAGCATTTCCAAGTCCATGTCCATGTCCATGTCCATGTCCATCCTCTGTGACAAGTTTGCTGCCTTTAATTCTCTTTCATACACTCTCTCCTTTTCCTTGCAGGTGCCAATCCAACCCCTCCTGCTCAATGGCCGTACACAACAGGTAATTCCTTCCTACCCAGCACATTTCCAGTTTTATAGTGAGCCCCACCCTGGCACAAGAGGAGAAGAGAAGGGACCTGCTGGGCAGAGCCTGCTCACTGCAATGCTGCTGGTCCCTTCTGCCCATGGCAAGGAGTCTTGTCATTTGAGGGCTTCTGCCAGGGAGGATCTGAGCCTCAGCAGAACGGCAGCTGCAGTGGTGCTGAGTCCACGCCCTGCTCTGCCAGACGTTCCATGGCTCCTGGCTGTGGGGCAGCAAGTACCAAGAGGATGGGGGCAATCCCTTCCCTCAAGCCCATGTGCTTGCCAGCCTAGCCCAAAACATAAATATCTGTCCTGATGCCAGGTCATGGCTGCTGTTGTTCAGCCATCCAGCAGAGGTGGCCAGTTTCTTGTGGATATCCTGCCAGGGCCCATAGCCTCAAACACCTGCAAGATATATGAGTGGTATGGGGGGAGGTCTCATGATCATAGTGTGCAAAAATGGCTTTTTGGCAAATGCCCCCATGCCCCCAGCAGCTCCCAGGACCCCCAGGCTCTTCTCATGAGATTTCCCAACAGATCCTTGCTCATTATGCATCAGCCCTCCATGTGCCTGGGGTCTTTGCTCTATCAATCCCCTTCCTTGGTCTCTTTAGGTTTGCACCACCTCAAACTGAAGTCCGTCTGGCCAAATCTCCAAAACATTTGGGGAGGTGGGGGCAGTGGATGCTGGGGTGTTGGAAACCTGAGGTTGTGCCTTGTTCCATGTGGCAGGGCCCAGTGTGCGGCTGTCGGGCGGCAGGAACGGCTGCGAGGGCCGTGTGGAGCTGTACGACGGGCTGTGCTTTGAGTTGGAAAACTCTGCAGCTGTTCCTGGTTGAATGAAACTCTGCAAAGGGATTGCCTCTCACTGCAACCAGGAGAAAAAAATTAATTCTGTTTTAATTGCCTCATATCCTGCATGGGTAGTACCAGAACTATTTCCTAGATATGCTCTGGCACTGGTGATGGGGCTGGAAGAAATAAAGCTGCTGCCTTAATACTTTGATATTCAGGAGAGGTCTCTGTGTGCATGAGGGTCCTGTGTGAAAGAGCAAAGCCAGGATGGTGGTTTGAGTCAAAGAACTCTGCAGGATGTTGTAGGAATCACAGGACAGAGTCATCTGTGCAGGTGTGTGGCCCCCAGGGACCATCATCTCTCCAGCAGCTCACACCAGATGGGTTCTGGTGTCCTTCATGGGAAGCAACCATGCAGAGCGCCAGGGAAGAGAGGACAGCCTGTGATTTTCTGTTGCCTGGTGCTGAGATGTGTGTCATGCAAAATCCACATTTTTGCACAGAGAGGTCAGCACAGGCTCTCCAGTCTCACAGGTGTAGCTGCTCCATGTGGTGGCAAAGAGTAGCTTGGTGGGATCACGGCATGGGCTGTACCAGGAACGTGTCGGGGTCTCACAACAGGTAAGTCCAGCTCACCCAGATTAGGCCCACTTTTAAAGCCAGACCCAGTCTGGCACGATAAGAGAAGAGGGGTGCCCAACACAGCTCATCCTGGTCAGTGCTATGCTTCTGGTTTTTACCACTGAATTATTGGTTTTTACCACTGAATGGGACATGCCTTGGCTTTTCTGGCTCCTGCTGCTGAACCAAATAGCAGCAACTGTGGTGTTTTCACCCCAGAGACACTCTAATTTGGTATGATTCCAAGCTGAGCATGTTGGGGCAAGCCCAGGCATGCCGGAGCTCTGATGGCTCCGGGCTGGAGCTTACTGGTAAAAGAGGGTCACTCCTCAGGCCTCCCTGTGCTGGAGAAACCTTTTAAGGCAATGGTGAAGGAAGGTGTTGGTCCTGAAGGAGGGTTTAGTCCAGAGGTTTTATTCTGGGCCACATGGCCCATGAATGTAGCAACAGCTCCACAAGGACTCCCAACCGTGTGGTGTGCTCGTCCTTTTACCCAGGGGAGAGGGGAAGGGAATACAGGGACCACCAATCCAGGTACAGGGGGAGGAGACCTCAGGGGAAAGGGACACCTGGATGGGCCAATGGCCCCCAGTGATGGAGAGCATCTTTTAAATCTGCCCAATCACTCGATGCTCCTCTGGAATTTCTGGGTTGATAGACAGTATTCAGCAGGGGTCAGGGGTGGGGGAAAGGAGAGGCGACTGACACCTGGGGAAGGACTGAGGTAACTGAGACATGTCATGACATCACACCGCAACACTGCTCCCTCTTCCTCTGTCATCTCCAGGCTGCATGAATGTCCCCCTTAGTGAATGGGCCAAATGCAAGGGTAGCAAAATGCTGTTCTGCACATGAGCCAGGCTCTTGAGCATGTCTGTCCCCAGGGTTCGCAATCAGGACACCGGCAGCAAGGCCAGAGGAGGTCACATCTGCCATCTGTATTCCAGTGATGTTTGCTCAGTCACTGCCCTTCCCTGATCTCCCATGATCTGCAACACCCCAGATCAAAGTCACAGAGGCAAAATCTGCAAAACAGTAGGGGAGGTAGTTGGGATTGTGCATGCTGGGTTGGAGGCACACGAACCAACAGCGTGTTCCGTGTGGCAGGGCCCAGCGTGCGGCTGTCGGGCGGCAGGAACGGCTGCGAGGGCCGCGTGGAGCTGTACGACGGCAGCTCCTGGGGCACCGTGTGTGACGACCAGTGGGACCTGCAGGATGCCCAGGTGGTGTGCCGCCAGCTGGGCTGTGGCCAGCCCCTGGGTGCCCCACGCAACGCTCGCTTTGGCCCGGGCTCCGGCCGCATCTTCCTGGACGACGTGCAGTGCCGCGGGGACGAGCCCTCCCTCCAGATGTGCCGGCACAACGGCTGGGGCATGCACAACTGTGGGCACGTGGAGGATGCCAGTGTCATCTGTGCAGGTGCGTGCCCAGCACAGCACTCTGGCTATTTCACATGTCACTCTAGGAGGGTTTTCTGTCAGGCCAGGGCAGAGGTGAGGCTGGCA